CTCTTGCGGTTTTTTCAACTTCGCAATTCTCATTGCACAGAATATTTTTCCTATATTTTATTCTTTGCATCAACTTTTAAATATTTTTTTTATTCCATCGATACATTTAATACATGCATATAACGTATCAATAACTTACTTTAGCCGCTCGTGCAGATTCGATCAACAATTGCCTAAAAATGGTTCATGCTTATTTTAAAAACTGTTTATGTAAAACTATGAACGTTGGCAACGACAACAAAAACAAATAAAAGTTGAATTTTTTTTTCAAAATGCACACGTTGCGAATAAAGAAGAATGGAAACCCCCACGCACCACAAACACTCGACCAACGACGAACTCGAGGCATGCCAACGACTTCCAGGCAACATGCACGAAACAACCAAGCCGACACAACGCCTGCTATCATTTTCGTTCCGATCAAATGAATGAAATATTATTCATTAGCAACGTGTTAATTGTTTACACAAGATAGCTTTCAGATGTGTGCACGTGTCTTCGTACGAAGTTGTTTGTTGGATTACCTACAGACATGTGTGTGTGTGTGTGTGTGTTTGTGTGTGTGTGTGTGTGTGTGTGTGTGTGTGTGTGTGTGTGTGTGTGTGTGTGTGTGTGTGTAGATAATGTTTGGATCTAAACCGCATGTAAGTCATCTTTCCTGGTCCACGAGTTCGGTGTAATTATTATGTCCAGTGGCCGACCTAGGAAAGAACTAGGGTGGCCCCCCGTTGTGATCAGTGATGTTATGAGCGCAGTCAGTTTTTAGACAGGAATATTTTTCATTTTTAGTTTTTAGACACGAACAGTCATCTTTATGAACTAGGCAATTTAACTCGATTAGTTTTGGGAATGTGACGCTGGTATAGCAAATTAGGCTGGCAGTTTTTTACTCGATTCTTGAATTACTTAATCTCTTAAACATGAAATCGTTTAATTTATTATTAGTAATAGAAATCTTGACGTTTTTGATAAACGGTATCTTGAAAAATCAACCGAATAGTTATTTGTCATTATATATATATATATATGAGCACGCACTATGGTTCGTTTTTTGTAATTTGACGCTGATATATAATGAATTAAGCTAATAATTTTTTTACTGGATTCGTCTAGGGCAGGCCATGACCTCCATTGTGGGTGATATATTTTATAAAAGTCAATAAAACTCAGTTTTTAATCAGAAATCGGCCAAAAAATGACGTGATGATTTATAAAAAGGTCACTAGCCTGATTTAAACCACACTAGTAAAAATTTGGATAATTTCATGGCTTTCCCCGTCAAATTTCAAAATTGAAACATTTGAAAATTTTGGACCCTTCTGTCAAGGTTGTTCAGATCATGTCCAAATTTTCATATGTGCATCTGTTTTAACGATTGTGAAGTTCAATGTAGGAGGTTGTCTCCATAAAATCATGTGTGAAATCCTAACTGGCAAAACTGGAGATTCCTCCTAGGAGTTAGATGGATTTGCCCTGGCCGTATCCCAAAATTTTTTGTAATGAAGATCGTGCGAATCTATTTACTAATTAGTATTATTATAATATCATTATATCGACTCATCTTAACACATCATAAATTTATAAATAGTTCGTTAAATGGAATTCAATGTGTCAATTAAGCATACGCCAACAAATTGATTAAACAAAAAAAATAAGTATAAATTTATAACCAGTGCGTACTAACCCAGCCCCACGCATAACTCAGAAGAGCTTGTGAATAAGAATAATTCCGCCATCTATCAACATTATCTACTTTGTTGGAATTTATTATTTATGAAAGGAGTTGTGCAGCTTTACAAGAATTGGTGGTGGTTATTTGGAGAAAAATACGTTTAATATAGTAGCGTTGCGTTGAATAATCAAAAAAGTTATATAAGGTTTCCAAAAATTTTAAATACAAATTTTAATTAAAAAAAAAATGTAAATATGTATAAAATTTTTAAACATCAACAAACCCAAGATACTCCATAATGAGCGCAAACGTTTGCACACAAGCAAAGTTGCATCCTGGTTTAAGATGACACGTAGCTGATTAACTATACTACAAGTTGCGGCTGCTCATTAATTTAGTTAATTTCTTCCCTAATTTAGAAACGTGTACGGTGTTATGCACAAACACTCCAGCTTGCAGCCTTAACACACGTCAAACATGCACAGACACGTACACACCACGGTCGCACACAAATTGGCACACACACTAATACATACATACATACAAACAAACAAACATACACACATAAAGATACATCATACTTCAAATACAACGCGTATATAAACTCAATAAACCTAAATACGCATTTTTTCCTTCTTAATCCATCAGTTGCTCCATCTAATAAAAAAAAAGTAGAAACAATTTATGCCACCATAAAAAAAGTTTTGTTTGAAGTAATTTATTGATGAGAAACAAAAATATACTCAGTTTCCGCAGCTTTTGTTCTCTTAATTCAACACGTCACACATCACAACGACTGCCTGATATGTGGATATCCAAGCAACAACATCAACAACTACAACAACAACCACAACAACAACCACAACAACAACACACAATAACGTTTGTGTGTTGTTGTTGATTAGATGGATGTAGTATGTCATGAATTGTATTCCATTGAATTCCTTAAACCGTTCATCATCTTAGCATTAATAAGAAGAATCATCCTCAATAAGTTTGTTTAGAAAACTATGTTAAAAACAAAAAATATTTGCTTTTAAAATTTGCTTTCATTGATTTAGTGTATATTATTATTAACGTCTTCCAGCAGCATGTACATGTACAGAGCGCTCTGAGTGACAAATGACATTTAATTAATTTAATAATCATTTAATATTCTGAAACAAGTTTTAAAGTAATCTTTTGTTATTTGTTGGAGTTTTTAACAATGTGTCTAAAAAATATGGCCAAAATTGAATTTAAATTTTATTTCAGTTATTTATTTTGACTTTGAAGTATTTAAAGGTGTAAAAAATGTGGCCCTTGAAACTTATATTCACCATTGTAAACCTTAACAAATAACAAACATTAAAAATTATATAGTTAACAAATTTACTTAAAAAAACATGTAAACTAAAATAATTTCATTTTAAAACAACCGAAAAACGGAGTAGCCAATTTAGCAAATAAAAGGATTTTGTCACATTTGTTTATCTCGAATTAACAGATAGGTGAAACTTTGAAAGTAAAGTCTGTTTTTTCATTTTTCTGTTTCTCTTTTCATTCTCTCTCTCTTTCTCTCGTTCTTTCTCTTTTTCTTTCTTTTTCTCTCTCTTTCTCTTTTTCTTTCACTCTCTCTCTCTCTTTCTCTGTCTCTCTCTCTCTCTCTCTCTCTCTTTCTCTCTCTCTCTTTTTCGCTTTTTGTTTTCCTATTTTTGTTATAAAGCATCTGTATCATTTTATTTCTCATTGATTCTTTACAAATCTATTAAGATATTTATATATCAAACCAAGAAATAATGAGAATATCGGCTAGGAATTATGCAAACCGTCAACGAGCACATTACAAGACAATATAATTTCGTTCAACAGATTTGACAGCGTGTGAACGTGGAACGTCATAGCCCTGATTAAAAAACATTTACAATTAGCATCCTTATTTAAACGTAACCTATGGAAAATGTACGGAATAAACAGTATATATTAGGCCTAAACCGCTCATCAACTCTTATGTTCAACAACACTGCAAAGAGAAAGGCTCGCAAAGAATTGAATTTAATGTAACAATTCATAATATTTACTGAATTTGTAAAATAACAATTTTGTGGTATTATTTGGTATTGATTTCTACATTTGTGGCATGTCTTCATCTTTTTTTCATATAACATAAATTTTTATGTTGCTATGCTCTTTAATATTGTTCACATTAAGTTTCTTACTTCACAATGATAGCAAACAAACCAACAACATCAATTTTTTAATTGCCCTAAATATTTACGCTAATAACACTCGTAGCTTGTGCTTATAAGCCTAATTAAATTTATGTAGTAATTAGGATGGTGAAATGTGAGGAAGAACAAACGTATTTGGCTCACTGCAGGCAAGTAATGTTAGTTAGGCTGTTCTAACTCCTGCCTGCTGATGCCCAGCTGAAATATTTCTACAGCTAATCAGCTTTCCGAATTAATAAATGAATAATATCTCTTCTGAAATTTTGAATTTTAAATTTCTAAGAAAGTTATTTTCATATATAAAAAATTGGTTAATACACTTAACAAGCTGTATTGTATTGTTTTACGCATAATGATCTGTTGCACCTTTGTTCTGGTTGTCATTCATTTCATTCGCGCTACTGAAGCAGGTATCTGTGATATTTTCTTTTCCAAGAATTTTAATTATTTTAATTAATTCTGTCATTTGTCTAATTAACAATCAAAATGAATCTTCTAATGGACGGAGCAAGGTGGCTTGCACACAATGTCACACACACCCCTGCCTCAGCTCTGTCCATTTATGATATTTTGCCATTTTGTTAAAAACAAACCACAGGGTGGCACATATTTTGTTGTTTATCGAACTAATCAAGTTGAATAATTTGGCTTTATTGTTTTAAATAAGTTATTTTTATATGTCATTAACATAACTGATTTTTTTATTTGTTTAACATGTTTGAATTTTGTCATTAAAATAATTTATTATTCTCTCAATTTCGCTTTTATATCTTAATGCCCCAATTTCATACAAGCTACAAATAGTTACCGATTTTTTTCATTTTGTTGTATATAAGATTTTTATTATACAAATATTTTGTGTTGAAAAAAAGCGAAAGTCAACAATAAAAACTTCCTTACAAACATTTAAACAAACACATATATATATACATAACATACATACATACTCGTTGACGCTGATTTCAAGAGTCTAAGTGGGGGCAGGCAATTTTGTGTTTTTGCCTACACAATATTTTAATAAATTTTTCAATTTAGAAAAATAGTTTGTTACTTTTTTTTGGAAAAGGTGGAAAAGTTCATTTCATCATCGAAAATTTTCACGAGAAAAGTTGCCTAAAATGACGTTTACATCAATCAATACTTTGGTACCCTTTGCAGTCAAAGTTGTAGTCTACTTTATAGTCTACAAAGTTGGCGTGAAACATGCCTACACATATGTTGTACGTACACACACGCCACGCACACGCGCGTGTGGACGTAAGAGAATTCCGTTGAGCAAAACGCTGAGTGGCAATTTATCGTGCTAATCACATCAATGCCATCATTTATTGGATTTACATAACAAGTGCACCCAAATCATCTCTCAGCCCATTATCGTTTACTTCAGAATAATATTTCTAAATTATTATTCCCCCCGCTTAAATACTCGGCGCCGAGGGGAAAATGACGTAAAATTTATTAACACGAATAGCGTACATTCTCATATTTTGAACTTCCGTACTCATATTTTGAAAGATTTCATGGATTTGTTTGTGCTAAATTGTTGAAACAGCATCCCCCACGTTATAGCAACCATGCAACTTCCCTGCATTCCGCCAGACATGTTCTATTAATTTGTTCCAACTTTATAACTGCAAACTTCTGCCTGTGTGGAGTGCAGTTTTTGTGAAAAACATTTTTACTTAATAAAAAATAAATTCAGATCACTTCAAGGATTTTGTACAATGGCTGTTTAATACATTATATGGCAAACAAACGAAAAAATTTGAATTAAAAATGCTTCAGTCAGTCGAACTTTAAAATAATAAAAAAGAGTTTACAATAATAAAATAAAGTTTAAAAAGTTTAAACTCCACACCGGCGAATGAAAAATTTAAGATTGCCATAAAAATAAAAAAAAAATAAATAATTTAGGAAATTAAATTAGGCAGGGCTGAAAGATCTTCGTTAGGATGTTTTTTTTTTCTTCTCGTTCTAGTGTTACTATGAGGAAAATAAAATTGAATTAAAGAAACAATTAGAAGATGTAGAAGAATTTGCAAATGTTGCCCAACTTCGCAATTTTCACTCTGCAACATTCATCCTGCAACATCCATCCTGCAACATTCATCTTGCAACATCCATTCTGCAACTTTCACTCTGCAACATCCATTCTGCAACATTCATCCTGAAACTTTTATCATGTAATTTTCATACTGCAACATTCATCCTGCAACATTCAAACTGTAACTTTTATCCTGTAATTTTTAAACTGCAACATTCATACTGCAACATTCAAACTGCAACATTCATTCTGCAACATTCCTGCTGCAACATTCCTACATTCATACTGCAACTTTTATCCTGCAGCAATCATACTGTAACAATCATCCTGCAACATTTATCCTGCAACATTCATCTTAAAATTTTTATCCTGCATAATTCATCCGGCAACATTTATCCTGCAACATTCATCCTGCAACATTAATCCTGCAAAATTCATCCTGCAACATTCCTCCTGCAACATTCATACTGCAACATTCAAACAGCAACATTCATTTTGCAACATTCATCCTGAAACATTAATCCTGTAACTTTCACCCTGCAACATTTATCCTGCAACATTCATTCTGTAAATTCATCCGGCAACATTCATTCTAGAAAAATTATCCTGCCAAAATTCATCCTACAACTTTCATTTCATCTAGCAACCCATCCCTCAACTTTGATCATGCAAATTTTATTTCAAGCCATTGTAACATATCTGTCTAAGTGAATGTTGGCAAATATCGTTAGTTAATGTAGTTGAAAATTAATGTCGTTGTTGTCGTTGTTCTTATTAATATTAACGTTAAAGACATTAACAACTGATCATTTTTTAAATAATTTCTTTTCAAAGAGACATGCACGAACGCTACGATAACTTTCAACGTGAACATCATTCAGGTTTTTATTATTTAGATGTTTATAACTTTTTTCTATTGAAATAATACGGCGGCCTGGTGAGAAATCGGCTGCAGTGATTAAATTTAAAAAAATATTTAAAGACTTTTTTACTTATCGCACAATTTTTAACATACTTTTCTGTTAAAACCAGTTTTTTCGCTCAAAATTTAACTTAACTTTGTTTTTATATAGGAGCTGAGCTGGAATAGTTTTTGGTCTAAATTTTTTACAAATTTATACTGAGATTTCGATCAATTCTCTCTTAACGCTGACTAAATTTTTTATTGTGGGATATTTCAACCCTAAACCCCACTGCCTATGCCACTGAAACATCATTTTCAGGTAACCTACTTTAATGAAAGAACCAGATGCTCCGTATAAATTATTGAAATGTTGTCAATTAAATTTATGTTCTGAATTTTAAAAAATTGTTACGAGTCAGAAAAAATGGGCAATTCGAAACCAGATGTAGTAATCAAATTGTACTTGAATGTGCAATTTAAAAAATTTGTTTTACTAACTTTTCTATAATTCAAATAAAAGAAATGCGCAGAGTGTTCAATTATTGATGCTATATTTTGTACTTTAACATAAATTTACGTTAGTTTTTTGGATAATATTTCAATAATTTTTTAAAATGTCGAAATAAATACAAACAAATTATAAATTGGAGTAACTTTCTGCAATGGTTGAGATATTTCTCTGAATTTTGTTTTTCACATATCAACAAAATCACATAAAAAAATCATTTAAAGACTCAACAGCTTGACGAAAACACCAGCAAAACGGAAGAATTCTACTTAGCGAAAGAACACGTATTCATTGGGAAGGAATCAGATAGCGAATACACCCGGTTCAATCATTTAACGAACAAAACGGATGAATACAAATTGCAGGGGGGTGTCAATGGGTGGACCATCAAAGGCATCCAAACCAAAAATAGTGTGAAAGCAGTATGCGCCAATGTGAACCACACCAACTGGACAGCTTTGAATTGGTTCATTGAATCGTACAATGGGGTAAAAACGAATCTTGGTGGGCTGATTGCTAACTTCACGTGCAGTAAGACGTTTCATCATTCTATTTTTTGCTTTCCATGTTTTTCGTTTGATTTGAATTTACAAGTTTTTATAAACAAATTTAATCATGCAGACGATGTTCTTAAAGAAGCAACTAATTCGACAGCAATTGCAATAGCAGTTTCAATTTGTTTGGTAGTAATCATCATTGCTCTAGCCGTTGGGCTCGTGCTGGTGCGTAAAAGAATTGGATTAAAGCATTCCTTCAAAAGGAGAACACCGAAAAAACTCCCTGTCGTTGACGAATACTTCGCACCAGTTGAGGTCAACTCTTTCAAGCTCTATTTAAGTTTTATATTCACTGACCTGCTATGCTACGACTTGTTTGAACTTTTTAGTCAACCCATTATTTCAGTCTTATATATTTTTTTTCATTGAACACGTCGGTTTAATTCACTATAATTTCTCAATTAGATTTTTCGTTTAATGTTACTCTTACAATCTCTTACATTCGACCTCTTCAAATTATTGCTGATAACACTTTATTCGTTCAGTTTTGATCGTTCAAGTTATGTGCCAATACTTTTGCAGGTCTGACTTGAAAATGATAAAAATTCAATTAAGTTTTTAGAATCATTATGAAAAAACATTATTTAAAAAAAATTTCTTCGATGGCAGACATCAAGCAAGTTCAACGATGATGCACACCAGTACGCCAACTCCAATTACATCAAGGAACACAACGCTAACAGTAAGAAGAAGTGGACCTTAAACAGCTCCTTCAAACATTCAAAAGCAAACAATGCTCACAAAAATTCAAAAAAAAAATCAACAGAAGTTGGAAACGAGTTAACGAAACATCAGATCCTATCAAAAGACAATCTCAACGAGTCGAAATGCAGTAACGAAAATGATCAGGGATCAGCGGGAAGTTGCAACGAATCAACCAACGATTACATTCCAATGGACAGAAAAAGAAAAAAACCTTAACTTGTAAAAAAACTTAGTTTCAATTAATCTTGTAATATATTTTGAACTTGGCACATCTAATATATTACAAATGTAAATTAGTTAGCTTTTATGTTCCGTTAATGTTGAAATTATTTCACATTTTTAAAGCATAGGCTATTCAAAATTTTGTCACGGCAGTCTTATAAAGCGAGTTATTGTAAAAGAATTCTCCATTAGTCATATAAAACTCAATAAAATGAAAATCTCATACATGATGAAGAATCAATGTAAACATTTTTGCAAAATGTTATAAATTTTAGTGCAACTAACGATGAAAAATTTATGTCATGGTCAAAAATTTACATAATTTTACTTTTTTCTAAAAGGTTCTGACAAATTATTTCATAAAATGATTTTTTAGACACTACTTTATGATATCAAATGTATTTGTTAATTTATAAAAGTGAAATTATGTAATTATTATTTTATTAGTGTACAACGTAAAAAAAACCGTCTAAATTAAAATATGCAGGTCTATGGCGGACTACACCCACCCATTACAATGTCGGATTAAACGCCTAACGAATAAAATTACTTTAACTTAAATATAAATGCAAATAAGTTTCTATTGTAACGTAATATTATTGTTGGCACCGAAGTGGGCAGATCCTGGAAGATTTCAAATACTTCTCCATGCATAATATGGCCAGAGGTTCAAATGTGTTGCGAAACTTGTTGAGCAGCAGTCTCTGTGATGTCAGGAGGAAAGGCAGGTCTTGTACGCCGTAGACACACACACCTCTTACATAATGACCAAAACACTTTTTTGGGTACCAGCTGACTTCAGTTGTATCCGATCTTGCCAGTTCATGTTTCTCTTATATAATTCAATTATCTATTTTAATTTTATTATTAAATATTATTAAGTTTTATTAAAATATTATTTAATATTACCTAATAAAATTTAACATTTTACGAATTCGAAATGCCTGATTGCTTTTGTATTCTAAAACAATAATCTGAACGATGTGAATGGAGATGATGGTACCAACTTGTCGATCCGCCAGGCGCGCTGATTCCTGGATTGCTGAATGTGTGGTGAAGGGTCTGCCAATAGTGCTCGTCTGGAGAGTAAGTCAAGTTGCACCAGTTCAAGTAATCGATGGCACGCTGGTCAGTCAGTAGGAAGTGTACGAAAGCACGAGTGAACGCTCCGTAAGCGCTACCTTTGACGATGGTGAGATTGTGAGGAGGGGGAGAGTGAGGTTTTTTACTATTTTTCAACTCACCATTTATCTCGTAGTATTTGTACAAAAACCTGAAAAGCATCATGTGATGGACGGCACTTAATTTCAAAAAATAACTGGGATCGAATTTTATTTTTCACTTTTGAAATGGGAATAAAAAATCATGTGACGACCCCCAAGCAATTCAATTTCAATCAACGCCTCATCAAACTTTTATTTTTAATCAGCAAACTTATTACCTCCGTCGGAGGTATTCATTTCCTTCTGTTTTTATCGTAACAAAGAGATTTGACCCGTTTTGATTTTTCAAATACTTGACAATTTCTTCATTTGTTTTCAGCGGGTATCCACTGGCAGCCATGTTTAGTAAGTACCGCCATCTTTTTTTTCTAGTCACGTGATCTTTCATGCAGTTTAAATCTGCGCGCAGGCGAGATATTCCCGCGTAAACAACTGTTTCCATTTTGGAAGCCAGGAAGACGTTATCGAAACACCTTCAATGCATTTTGTTTAGTAATAACTATGTACGGGTAAATTTAAATTTGTCGAAAATAGAAAATATGTCTAGCAATAAATAATCGAAAGAGACATGCACGCGTGCATTAGAGCTTTTGCTTGCTTGCAACAATTTGTTCCTTTCAACCTGCCACTTAAATTGCGTGTAATTAATTATGCTCAAATTAACCAACGCTCAATCTAATGAAAGCTTCATTCATTAGAAGATTGTTTCGATTAACTATTAAACAATCTTTCTACCATATAAAATTTCAGAAGCTGTTAAACTAGTTGAATTGGTAGCGACACAACTTCTCTGACTGAAAAGTAATGGTCCAATGATTGATGGCCAGTGATGCTGATCTGTGCAATACAATCCTATTGCGTGTGCTTGTTAAAATGTTAAACGTTTCTGCTCGCGCGTTCGTTTGATATCTTAATCGACAAGGCATAAATAATTGTTGCTATAATGTTTGTGTAGTTTAATCGCTGAAGCAATAAAACCATCATGAAATGAAATAGTATTGTTTTTAATGCTTATTGTAGCTTGATGATCAGATGAAAAAATCGATGCCTATAACAATATTATGGCATAAAATTCATATAAAATGTAATATAATGTGTAATTTTAAATGCCGAGTTTCTACATATGTATCTACAATGACTAACATTGTACTGGTTGGCCATCTGCTGCCTTTAAATATGAATGCTGTGTTCATAATTAATCGCATAATTAATCACGCGCGTCAGTTTAAGTCCTTCGCATATTATACACGTTGAGTATTTGTTTGTATGTGTCTTTGTCTTTGTCTGTGTCTGTGTATATGCGTTTTGCTTTGTAAATATCGTGTGCTTTTGTTGCGTTTGCATTAACCTAATCAATTTTTCTGCGCTTTCTTGGAAAATCAATTGCGTTTCAATTATAATTTATAATTTAATTGTGTCAATTACAATTTATAATATAATCGGATTGTAGGTGTCTGCGAGCTTGCATGTGTGTTAGTCTGTCTGTGTGTATATGTGTGTTGATTGATTGGTATAATAATATAATTCGTATGACAGATAGATTTTGCGATGGTGTGATTCTACGGAATGTAATCACCAGTATTTTTCAATTCACATGAACATCTAAGGGTATCAAACAGGCCGTAGCATTACAAATGTTTTTGGTGGAATTTTGAAATTGAGTTTTTGAATTTTAAAAAGTATAAAAACAGCCAAAGGTTCGATAATAGTCGACGAATAATTTAAAAAAAGACGTCATGTGGTGAAAAATTTTAAAGAAACATTCCTATGAGAAGAATTTCGTTAAAATTTTATGACGTAAACTGAAATATATTACAAGCTTTTAAAATTTTTGAATTTGGTTTGGTTGTTTAGCTAAGAGGGTTCAGTTGCATTGCAAAACGATTATTTGTATATGTCAACATAGTTTTAAAAACGTAGTTTTGTAATAGATTAAAATTAACAGGACAAAAAGGTTACTTGATCAGTTGCTGAACTTTCGCTATCATATCTTTAGACTTAGCATCGACATGAATGCAGTACTGATTGTGTGGTCTGTAGAGACTGCTCAACAGGCTCTCCAACTGTTGGAAGTTCTCATGGGTCAGAATGTTGTACGCAATGCTGTACGGTTTCTTGAGACGGATCACTTCACTTACGTTATAATATTCATTGGTGTGCTGATTTGTATAACTATTATTGACTTTATTGATATCATCCTTCTCATCATCCGTTCCAGCTCCCTTTCCATCTTTAATGTAAATGTAATCATCATCATCATCGTCATCTTCATTGTAATCCTCATCAGCAGCACTATGAATGATGTCCTCTTCCAGTTCAAGGCGAGTAGGTGGTGAGGTATCGTACTGTCTCCAGGCCATGAAGTTCCCACAACCATTTTCTTTCAGCGCATCCAACAAATGCTCTTCAGAAGTCGGCTTGAGAAGCAAGCTTTCGTGTTCTTTCATGAACGATTTAACGTCCTTGTAATATGAGTTGTTCTCAGTTGGACTGCTGAAGAGAACGTTCCAGCATGTTACACGCGGGCAGATGGAGCAGTTGTTTAATGATTTGACCGCTTCAGGTTGGCCAAGGTAGTCGATAATGCAGGTGTTGTTGCCATCGCCATTTGCATCACATGGTTGTTGATGCAGCTGATGAAGTAGAGGATGAAAAACTTCTTTGAATGAAAGCAATATTTTACTTGGATGACGCTTTGTTTTTATTTGAATGAGTTTCCGTGAAATAATTATTATAACAATAACTGAAAACAAAATCGCGACAAAACTTTTACAAAATTTCAAATTTCGTCTTATGCAATTATAAGAAAAAAGTGAAATTAAAATGATGTAACAAACAGCAATTAAGTAGAACATATTATCAAATGTGTATCTAATACACGTATCATCTAATTTAACGAATGCATAACAACAGGAGTTTTGTAAACCATATCTATAACGTTATCAATACTATAACAGACATCAAACTCTTCGCGTAGACCTTCTTCGTATATGCAGATTCACGAGCAGTGATTTTTTTTTATAATTTTAATCTTATGAGTTGTCAAATTAATGTGAGCCAACAATCCAACAGGTGTTCCTATCTACTTGCAAAAATACTATCGATTATATTTTAATGAAATTTTGCATGCAAGCAAAATGTTTGTTTCATTCTTAAGAAAAAGATAGTATAAAGAACTGTGATGCACTTGATTAAGATTAGGTATTTTCTAACGGCGAATGGTCGAATAAATGTAAAACAATTTTTTTAATCTAAAGAAATTTACAATTTTTTCCAGAACAATTTTTACATTGTGGAAAGTAACTCAGATCATTAGCGTTTTAATGCAAACGACTATCATTCATCATTTCAAAACATATTTCAGTAGCAGAGGTGGTCATAAATTAGATGTTTGGTGGGATTTGGGCGTGTTAGTTTTTTGCAAAATAACCTAAACATCTAAATAATTTACTAATTTTGGAGTTAATGTAGTTCATTAAAAACAGGATTTATTACATAAATTCTTATTACCGACAGCAAAAATACCTGCCTGCTTGGCTATGCATCTTCCTTTCAGCAACAAACAAATCCGGTCCTGCTGCTGCGGCTACTGGTTTCGATTGCAAAGAGATCCCCGCATATCACATGGTATGTGTGTGCGTGTGTGTGCATGTGTGTGTGTGCGTGTGTGTGTGTGCGTGTGTGTGAGAGTGTGTGTGTGCATGTGCGTGTGTGTGTGTGTTTTTGAGACAATATTACATCTTGCACCATGTGTACATTCTCCACCTAGCGATATATTTTTTGAAGCCGAGCGCAGGTTGCACACTTGTTGCATACACTACGCTTCAGGTGAGTTTGGCAGGCTTCCAAATGACAAAATGGATTTGCACCATTACTGCTGTGCTGCTATTCAAGTTCATTTTCAGAAAATATTTAAAATTCTTCACGTGATATGAAAAATGGAAGAACTTGAAACTTCAAATGATAGAAATTGTGATATAAAACATGCAACAAAAGCGTATGGATCGGATGATAAAATTGATCTACCTGAAAACCGTGTAAATGACAAACAACATCAGTTCAATCCGGCAAATTTCATCAGATCAACCGATGATGTCAACATCGGCAAGATTAACAAAAAACAAAAAACACGTAACAAAGAGGAAGAGAAAGATGCCGGCATTCATCTATCGGCTCAAACTAGAGTCCTCCAACTGAAACATGACAGTGACCGTATGGACAAACTGCTAGTCATCAAGAGAGAGGTAGGCGCGATTTTTAAATTTATATATACATTTGAGTGGCACTAAGGAATCTACTACACTAACCATTTACATTGCAATCATACTTTTACATTTTTATTCTTAATTTGTATTGAACGCAGTTGCTTAAAAGTCTAACTGATTTAATAATGTCTCAAGTTGATTATAACGGTAGTTTTTGTAAAAAGATGATAAACGGTTATGTTAATTGTTTTACGATCTCATGAGCAACTCATGTAATAAAAAATCCTCTAATTTTGTTTTGTTTGATATCAAAGTAGGCGTACTTATAACTTTACTGCAAGCTATAGTACACACATGTAAGTGTGTGTATTCTATTTCAATATAATGTTCCTATCTGTAAAACGAGGTTGGCATTATTTAATTATACTTATGCTATGCTTTTGTGCCAAAATAAGACATTTATACATGACATACATGAAGCTTGCGACATAACATACATGAAGCTTGCGACATGACATACATGAAGCTTGCGACATGACATACATGAAGCTTGCGACATGACATACATGAAGCTTGCGACATGACATACATGAAGCTTGCGACATGTCATACATGAAGCTTGCAACATGACATACATGAAGCTTGCGACATGACATACATGAAGCTTGCGACATGACATACATGAAGCTTGCGACATGACATACATGAAGCTTGCGACATGACATACATGAAGCTTGCGACATGACATACTTGAAGTCTGTGACGCGTCAATGACAGGAGTACGAAAAGCGAATGAAAGAGCTGGGAGCGCGCAAGCAACTGTTGAAGGAAAAAAGGGCACAAGTGAAAGAAAATTACATCAAGTTCAACAATTATTTTGAGGTTAACTTCAAATGAAAAACTTTAATAGTTAACAAAGTAACTTTTAATAATAGAATATATAGATATTTAATTGTGAAATCAACTTGAAAAATCTATAGTGAAAATAAAAACAGCCAAACAAACGTTGTAGGAAATGCGAGAGAAGAAAGAGAAAACTCTGGAAAGAGTTAAGGAATCACAAGGACTCAGGGAGCAAAAAAATTTAGAAATTATTCAGTGAATATTTTATTTAAATTCAAATTAATCAACATTTTTTAAAGATTAATAACCATCAGAACAACCAAATCGATTTTTATACAGTAATTATATTAAATACATTGAAATAAACTTTACGAACGAAACGCGAATGCATAAAATTAAATTCACAGTCTACAAGACGAAATGGAAAGCTTAATTGAGAAGAGGAACTCGTTAAAATCAAAAACTCTTCTGCTCAATATTTTTGAAAGTTTCTTACAGAGAACTGCATCTCACTGTCCCGAACAATTTCCAGAGATTGCAGACGTAATAAGAAAAACTGATACTCTGACTGACACTAGAGATGTAAGTTCCATGGGATATTTTTGATCTAACGCTTCAAAAAATTATTCTTATTCATCGTCGTGAGGTCCTTGTCAAAGGTCAGCAAGAAAACAGAGCTTTGTTGAAGAAGATGCGAGAGGATTATGAACAATACGTTCAAGTGAAGACTTTTTTCATTTCTACTATATTGTTCTGAAGTTCGACCAGAAAAATGGCCAACAATTCATTCCAATGTTGCTATAAAATATTTTTTTAATTTCCAGACCAAAGGTGATGAAATATTATATTTGAATTTAGAACTAGTGCAACTTCAAAAGAAGTATGACAGCACGCAAGTGGAGAAATATATCCAAGAAAAAAGTTGTCTCCAGTCAAGCGTGTCGTTTGACGAGCATTTCGTTATTATAGATAATATCGTCAGGTTAGAAATTTTAATGGTCACAGAACAACAATAAATAAATAATTCGTTAGAAATTTTTTGTAATGCTTTTACGGCAGTGATCGTCACCGGCAAACAGTATAACCTTAGAAGTTTAGGCTGTAATTTTTATTTTTGTTTGAAAAGATTCAATTATTTCTCAAAGAACTACAGAAAACATGGTGAGACTGATTGAAAAAAACAAAAAATCGTTGAAGGAAAAGGGTGAAATAATGAAAAACCAGAGCGAAACGATAGGGCCCAAGTTGTCAACTACCGAGCAGATGTTTAAAGTATGTAGAAAACTTATTCTTCGCTAATTTTATTTGGAATTTAAAAATATGTCACAAAAATGCTAAATAGCAATTTATTGTTAATTTTTTGTCAAATCCTCAACAAAACTTTATTGGCAATTCAAAGGGGAAATAATTTTTTTAGTAACTAACGCAAAAACATGTTGCAGATGAGCAACGTACGTAGGTTGGCCGTTGCACAGATTTCAAAGTATAAAATTTTGAGGGATATAAGTTAGTATAAATAAATAAAAGATAGCCGGGACCGCATTTTTTCTTTAAACTTTTGAATAAGTATTCATTCGTCAGCTTTTCTTCTATTTTGTTTAGTTTTATCATTAAATAAATGAGATATGAAAAGCTAGGAACGCTTCATAAGCAGTTCGACGTTTTTCAACTTAGCACAGTAAAAGCGAAAAATTTTCTGAATCACAACCACAACGATCAAATAAATAAGCTGGTAGGGTGGTGAAAAAGGCAAACGAAAGATATAATTTGAATTATCATAATTATTATTATTATTGACACTTGAATATTTTCCAAACAATGAAGGTTGTCTGGAACATGAAAGATCTGGCAGACATTGTGAAGGAACACAGATGGAAAAACACTGCACACTGACAATGCATTTAAAATTTTGTTTAAAATAATTTGAACATAAATTTAAGTATCTAAAACAGAATGAAAAATACATTACGTCGAATGTTTCAATAAAATGTATGTACTATCTGGGACAAAAAGTCGATATAAATTGAATATTCAGCTGTAAAAATTTGAATTTGATAAAAATTAAATATAGACTACTCAACTTACTATAATATTAGGGCAAGTTGAATATCTCTAAACGTGAGATACCATTAAAAATTTCAAATAATCAAAACTATTTATCGTGTTTAAATAAATTCACGAGAATAAAGTCTACACACATATAACATACATACATATATAATATTACATGAATAAAACGAGACAACATTAAATATTCTTATCGAAATTCGAATGAATATTATGATGAGTTTAATGCCATTCTCGAATTAAAACGGTAGGTAGGATGCTGGATATTTGACGAGGAGCCACCTTCGGAGGTGCTTCACCAGGTGATCCCAGTGCAAAAAGCCACAGATCTGAGGGTTAAATGTTTCATCACGATGTCTATCAGTGGACTAATTATAAAGGTTATAAGTTAAATACATTACGGGCTGTTAGATATGAAATATAAAGTTAAAATAGATATTTTTTGACACGATTGAATGAAAAAAAATAAATAAATAAAGTGAACTTAAGACGAATGAATGTAACTGACTTCAATAATTTTCTCATCAATGTCGAGAGAATTTCCCTTGTCGTCTGCCTGTTTTAGAAGCAGCTTCAGTGCCCTTCCGTAATGTTGGTGTACAATTGCATGCCTCAGATTGAACTGGTACACCTGGTGGGAAGATTTGTCGCCGATTGATTGAATGTATGGTTGATTGGATAGATTGATTGAATGATTGATTAGACTGGTTGAATAGCAGACTGATTAATTTATTGATTGCAGAAATTTGAACGATGACATTGTTGATGGTTAAAATGAAATGTATCATTTAACACTTGACAGACTAAAAAGGTTTTAAAAAATTGTCCTTTGCAAATATTTATTCAATCAAACATTTGTACTACATGTTAACAAGTCGTTTGTATTTGTGTTTGAGAGGAGCTGCTTTAATTACAGCACTGCTTACTTATAAATGCTTAGTGAAAGTTTCAACTATTGGAGACGAAAAATGAAAAGATTGATCATGAATCAAACCAATTGACCAACGCATGAATCAAACTAATCTCAGTCAAACACTAACCTTAGATTCGTTAACGTCAGTCAATTTGAGAACATCTGACATGATTTCATCAACACGCGAGAACGTGTAGTTGTTGTTAGATGAGAGGGTCGTGGTAGATGTTGTTGCAGGTGGTAAGGTGGCCTCGTTTTCCGAGTTGCGCTTCTCGATAAGGTAGTCACAGAGGGCGCATCCAAGTCGTATGAGGCAATCAATTAACTGAGACTTGCTCTTCTCCATTGCTCTGATCAGTTCGTACAGTTAACATCATCAACATAAAAATTTGAAAAATAAAAATTAAAAAGTCAAAAATCTTTTCATAACTAACACAGCCAACAACAAATGCCATTAACAAGTGAAAGTTAAAGTGAAACAAGCAATTAATCAGCATGTCTTCTTAAAATAGCACCAGCATAAAGACTAACGCCTTAATGTTTTGCTGTTGGTAAGCATCATTTTTAATGCTGAAGTAAGAGACAATCTTGTTGATGTCCAGTAAGGTGACCGCCTTCTCACCCACCTCGATAATTTGGGTCAGCTTCTTGGTGCGGTCCTGTCGGTGTGGTTAGTCGTCATAATCTTCATGAATAATAATTTTTTATATGATTTCGTCTGTCCATATTTTCGTCACCCCCCTCGGTGGAATTCTCATCGCCACGTTAATAAAAAGAAGAACCTTATCGGCGTCGAGAGCAATCAGTCGGTTGATGTAAAGGACGATATCGGAAGGTCGGTCGTACGTCAGCTCCTCAAACAACTGCGCTGAATACTCGGCATCCAATCTTTCAAATGTTTAACAATCTCTATTCATTCGTTCATCAGTTCACCGGATGATGTTCAAAATGAAAAGAAAATAATAGTAAATGAGATAATTGATCGATTAGTTCTAAATGAGATAAATGATAGGATGAAAGTAAATAAGACAAGTAATCGAATAGTTTTAGTAGTGATGCAAAGATGGATTCAATTCATTTTAACTTCTGTTTCCAATATGATATAAAAAGAAGCACCAGTGAACTACTATGAAAATATTTCCACTGAGAAAACATTCATAAACAATTGAGAACAAATAGAAAAATTATTTCAATTTAGTCGAGAAGATGGAATGAATTTTAGGCAAGGACCAAAGGTTTAGAGGTGACAGGACAACAAGCAGCACAGAATGAAGCTTCAATCAACCAACTTGGTGATCCACGAAGCCTTGAACTCATGCACAGCCACTTCAAATTCCGTTTGCCTCGAGGACTTGTCCACCTTGGCCACTGCATCAACCGGAACGATGGATGGCGGTTCAACGGAAACCAAAGTGGAAGTGTTCTGAGTAGGCGTCTGAACGTTGTTTGTCACCGGCGCCGCCGGAGATGCTGGATGTGGTGGTGATATGTTGTTGATGTTTGGCTGTGGAGTGCTTGTGGGAGATGATGAGGATGACGATGGCGTCGATGTTGAAGGAGGTTTCGACTTCTTGATGTTCTCCGGTACCACGTACTTGAACGGAAAAAACTCCTTTGAAAATATAAAAATAATTGAGAGCTATTCATTCATTGCATTTGAAAAATTAGAAAATACTGTAAGCTATTCATTTTATTTTAAACATTAACGACAACTATTTGAATGATACAACTGCACCATTGATTGAAGCATCAAAAATCAATGTTACATTACAAAAATTTCTTAAAAAAATCTAACCAATATTAAAACATTAATCTGTGCCAAAACTTCAGCTAATTATTTTTTAATCCTATTTGCTTACATGAACCAAGCCAACATATAAAAACGGCAACAAACCAATTTAATAGGATCAATAGAGCAACAACCAACCAACCAATCAACCAACTACAACGAACCACTTTTTTGGCATTCTCATCTTTAGAGAAGGATATGGTGCCCGTGAGAAAGTGACCAGGTTGGACTCCTTTTGGTAACTTATCTTCATGGATAGCTATGGTATAGACAGGCAGGCTGTGGTGCTTGTGAAGAGTCACAGAGCAGTTGAACTTCTTGCCTGCAATCAGTGCTTGCTGAAGATTGGGATAGACGTCCAGGTTGATGTTTGAAGGAAGTTTGTGGTGCAAGTTGATGGGGGTGTCCTTCAGCCTCTCCAGCATATCTCTCTTCTCGTGACGAATGAACATCTTCAATACATAATCTCCTTTCTCCAGCTTAGCCGTGTACTGAATCATTCAGTTATATCAGTTCATTTACAATGAATAATTTTTTTTTAAAGATTTATATATGCAAATAATACAAATTGAAATATATGAATGATGTTGCATCAACTTTTGTAGAATACACTATCAAATTGAACAAAAAAATGAAAACGCACTATCGTTATAAAATATAAATTCAAGAGCAACATCAACAGCAACCGCAACAGCAATCGCAACAGCAACAGCAACAATTGCAAACCATATTCGTGTATGCGTCTCCGCAGTAGAGTAGTTGTTTGTTTGCGTCGTACAGCATCCACATTTGAGATTCATATTCATTCTCGTACAGCAACTTGTTCAGCAAACTGAAGTCAGGCGTCACCTCCCCTACAATGTTTGCAGACAACATCTTATATTATGATTAGCTTCGTTTATGAAGCTAAATTTGACGAGACATTACTCTACATAATTACTTTTCGAATTGGATCAAAAAGTCATTTTAAAATAAACAATTCAAAAAGAGCAAAAACTTATAACAAGTGAGGTACTGAAAACAAAAAACTAAATATGCGTGAAACAGATGAATCATTTACAGTTCAAATAGTAACAATAATATCCAAAAATTTATGCGTTACAAAAAAACTCTATAACAAGCTCAGATAAAGTAATCTGACACAATATGATCGATTACCCTGTTTGGCTCTGGAGAAGTTGTAGGTGAGTTCGAGGGCATTGATTGGCGGGTGGCCTATCAGCTGGTCTCTCTCGTCCAATAAACAACGAATCTTGTTGTCACATGGTCTGAATGTGTTGCGTTTTGTTTCAAATCAGTTGTTGCCACATCCATTTTGGCGATGAATTTGTTTTAAATGAATAAATAATAGTATTATACGTTGTGTATTTGAAAGAAATGAAAACTCCAATGAATACAACCAGAAGACTGCGACAAGACGAGAAATTATTGACCTTAAGGGCTGCACGTGATGTTTGAGGATGATGGCTGGCGAGATATCCTCCGACTGCAAGAATGAAGTTACGTCAAGTCTGAATATACCCTCTGATACGATCTGAATTAATTAAAAAGTGAACATCTCACAAGTCGTGTGGATCGCAACTTCACTAACTTCACTCATGGCAGCAATTGAAGTTGTTGCACAGGTTATTTGCATTAAGTAGAGCTAACATCGTTGAAATCAGCAACATCAATAGTATCAAAATAACACAAACACCAGTGACCATAAAAACGAGTAAGTACTCAACCATTCATGAAGGTTCATCCATTAACAGCAAAAACATCAAAAACGAACCATGACAGGGGCAATGGAGTCGGGCAGTAAGGAATGAAACTCAACATGAACATTCACCGTGATGCTCCCGAGATAGGACCACCAACGGGCCAGTGCCAGCTCCAATGTTTTGCCTCCCTTCAAAATTCATTTCAACAACAATGCTTGATTTAAGAAAGGATCAAATAAAAAATAAAGTAACGAAACAAATTTAAAGCAATACTAATAGCATTAACCACACTGAAACAAACGTCAAGAATATTAAAACTGCACGAATCAAACCACAGCAACAAAAAACATCGGAAAAGAACAAATAACTCAGTGAGTTAGCTCATATAATGGAAGAGCAGAGCAGTGATGACCTTGTTTAAACGCTGTCCGTCTTAAAGTGAAGGACTGACTATCATACGCCACGCGTGTGCGACGCGGTGCTTGCGCGTGAATACCAAACACGTGAAGTGTGGCTAGTACAGCCTCTCTTGCAGGAAATTTTAATTGATAAATACAGAATGACATGTAGACAGTCCTGCATAACAAAGAAGAAAAACAGACGACAAACAATAGAGAGGGCTGAAGAAGGAACGAGCAAGAAACGAACCACGACAGGGAATTCACACTTGACGATGGAATCTCCATCGAGATGGGCAAACTTCTCAAAGTTCATGTACTTATACCTCTTCTCGTGCACCAGCTGCGTGCAGTGGATGTACAACTTGGCCCCCTGCTCCTCCATTGGGGAGGACATCACCGAAAGGGCTGATGATGATGGCGTGGGAGGGTGAGTGAATGGGTGCGGGTGATTATGTCGAGTGAAGATGATAATGATAAGGGTGAATCATACTCGTGATAATAATCTCCAATAGTATCGTCTATTAAAAATGTAAAAATGTTTACAAGAAACAGATCATAACCAGAGATGCACAGAACAGTGAATTTGACCAAAGACCAAATCAAAAAAATAGTCGACCCACATAAGTGAAACATCATAAACCCATGAAAATATGCAGAAACAATTTAACAGATTTAAAAATAAAAAATGAATTATTCCGAAAAGTTTTAAAAAAAAATTGCAAAAATTGGAGATAAGTTATTTTTAATGTCAATACAACTAGAACATAGTATAAAAAGTTTTTAAATCGAAACAGAGTAAAAATATATTTTAAAAAATACCAATTTATTATAAAATGAAACTAATTAAAATAAAAATCCATACAAAGGTTATATAATACAACATCAATTTCTACATAAAGAGATTGATGGAAATATCGGCTACAGCTTATTTCATAATATTTTATTATATCAACCATTGAAACCATTGTAGTCGAGCCATGAATTTGGCAAACCATTCAATGCTTCTTTAATTGCAAGAATTTGTGCGGCAATTAATAACAACATTCGAGCAGCATTAAAGAATCAGTTGCAGTGAAAAAGTCAGTGAAAAAAGATGAAATCAAGAAATCCACGGAAATACAAACGAAATAATCAAAGAGCTATCTAATTGCTAGTGAAGAGTGCAAATTCACAAACAAAAACGCAACAGTAACTAAATTTAAATGTATAAAACGAACGAAACATAACGAGAAAATATATAACCATTCGTAGCCAATCATCTTCAACATAATCAGCTACGTTACTACACTACATCTTCATAATGGCCATTCTTCTCTCACTGTCTGTTACAACGAAGCAGAAACAAACCTACCTCCCAGCAACACAACAACCACACGACACAAATGGATGCACATGCACACTGAACAATTCGAACAGTACAGGCACGAGAGCGCATACTAACAGGCCCTAGTAGCGCCATGCGGCACGTGAATGAAGTATCGCTTGATTTCGCCAGCCTTGAAGTTCAGGTTGGCCCAGAGCAGAGAACAACTACTGTTACTGATGATGCTGCTGTTGCTGTTGTTGCTATTGTTGCAGAGATTCACATTCGTCGTTATGAACGCAGGTCTTTCTTCCACTCTGTCAACGAGCAAATCAAAATTATTTAAACAACTTTTACGATGCTTCATTAAAAGCTACAAACATCGCAATTAACTCTAAACATGAGTGTATGAAAAAGTTGAAAGGTTCACTTCTGTGGAATGATGACAGTGATAGGAATCCTGAAGAGAGGTCCCTTCTCTATGCACGATATGTCATACGCCAATATCTGCATGGGTGTCAGATTAGTTGATGCAGCCGAGCACATCACACAAACAAAACAAAAATGTTCGTATAATTTTGTTTATAATTTCATGTTTAAAAGTCAGAGGAATCAAATGCATAATTCATAAATCATTACTACAAAATCAATTACAAGCTTTTAAAAACTTTATCACCATCACACCAGCTTTTCACCAACCTGAGTGAAATGAACACCAGTTTCAAGGACCAAAGGATTGACCCTGATGTTGAAGACTCTCTTGTCGTTCATCAACTGAAAGTGGCTGGGGCATTGGACCCATGTGACGTCACAGGATAGGGCCACAGTCACGTTGAACTGAATCTTTTCCTGATTGGCTAGGATGATTGAAAAAGGCACTGTTGATGATGATGCCGTCATGATGAAGACATGATTGTTATAATGACGATGACGATATTTATGGCAGTGGTAATTATATCAGTGAAGTCAATGATGAAATGATATGAAAATAATGATTCAAATGACGTATATAATTTGTTAACGCTTGTTGTTATCTTTGAAACAGCAAATGCAAAACTGATAAAGATGGGCAGTACTGTGCCGGTTTCTCATCAGATGGCAGACTCACCCACAGACTTATCAATGTAGATGGGTTCGATGGAGATGTTGTGATCGGAAGGTGCCATGACGTCACTCAGTTCCCTCAGGTACACCCCCCTCAGTGGTCGGTCCCCTGGATGACTGCCACAAGTCACTACGAATCTCATGTTTCGCTCTGCAACGTCACCAAACTTTCTCAAATATTCAAAAGCCTCTTCCACCTAATTAATTAAATTATTTTCAACATTATGAGATGGTTATTTTCTAATGACAGTTAATGATGAAAATAAAAACTAATTAAGTGAAAAATGTCATTAGAGCCGATCTCAAAGCCAACTAACTGGTTAACAAACAAATGAAAATTGAATTGACCTTGATCAGTCCATGACCTTGCGTGAAGTGATCGACACCCGGAAGAACATATGCAGTGTTTTCAAGAGCCCTTCTGATACTGTATGGAGTGTAAGGCATGTCGTTCTGCTTCAAACCGGACAGCAACAAAGCTGAGAAATTGAATGGCAAGTCAACATTGCATCAATGTAATATGAATGAAATTATATTTTTAAAATTACACTTCTTTGGAAAAAATATATTAAAAACAGATGCTACTAACCAATGCCTCCACATGCATTGGGTGAACTCATGCTGGTACCGTTCATCAGTTGCGAGCACTTGAGTGTCCAGTTGGGAACTGAGGTGATAGCAGCTCCAGGGGCAGACACACAAACCCCCAATGAGCCATCAAATCTGTCAATAAATTTCAAATAGATACCAAGTTTTCAATCTGTTCAAAAGGGAGAGATTTATTATATTCAATTTTTAACAAAACTTGTCGAGGCATTTCAATTCTTAAACAATCTTTATCATCACTTCCTCTTCGTCCGAAATTTTATCTTTTATTTAGATCCAGACTTGTATTTTTTTTGTAGTTTGAATGTTGAATGATTGAACTTTCATTTTTGGTTTATCCTAGGACATTAAAATTCAGATCCTCGTCAGCATTCTGTACATCCCAGTGGCGGCCAGTAGCAAAACCAGATAACAAATTTAATCCATTAAATAAGGTTCTGCCATTTTAAACTTCTGGATTTTATTTTTATTTCGTTCATCCTCCATTACAAATTTTAAAAAAATATTAAACTACGAAAAAATAAACATATTAAATAAATTAATGAGCGACAAATAATAACCAAATATAATTTTAAAAAAAGGTATATAGAGAAGGACTGGCAGTCACTAACGCAGGTCCCCTAGACGACCATGTGTAATGCATAGTTGGAAGCTGTTCCCTCATTGAATAGCTGGCCTTCATCATGTCAGGAGACACATAAGCACCAATCCCTATGAAGTGAAGTAAAGAGGTGGTGGTGTTGTGTTTGTAGACGTGCGAGTAAGATGGTAATGCTGTGTTTGTAGGTTGTGTTTCAATGTCGAAAGCATCACATATTGTATTTTTTGATGATGATGCAGATTGTGTTTGGGATGATGAAAGCAAAGATTACATATTTTTATCTTCTTTAATAAAGGGTTGATGTTCAATCTGGTAAAAACATTTTAAAGGTATGAGATGACTTTTCTTCTTTATATTATAGAATGTCAATGCAAAAAGCCTATAATGATAATGCAACAAGACAAATAATAACATTTAAATTCTTATTCAAACATACATCAGTAACGAATTCATTATTATAAAATTAATTATAAAATTTGTCTGATGCAGTTCCATGTTATAGCAACGAAGTTAGTAAACTTAATCATGAAGATGGCTATAGAAAGACTTCCTAACCAATGATACCATAACTGGTTCCTCCAGGGCTTCCAACAGTCGAGAGTGCAGGTCCATTGTTGCCAGCCGCTGCTACAAATATCAATCCATACTTGTGCACTGCCTCATTTATCACGTCAAAGACACGTCTGAATGATGGAACGTGTTCAATATGGATGTGTATAAATAATAAAAACTGGGCAGATTACCATCTTTAGTAATCTTACCCTTAATCAAAATCAGGCAACCAATTGATTTTTATAACACAAAACTTTTATAATACTTTTCAATTTTTTCAAATATTATAAACATAACAATCAAATTGACATGTAAAAATTGGAAATTTAGGCGTAACAAATTACAAGATTTGAATAATAATTTAAAACTCTTTAGTATAAAATTATGAAATGTTACAATCTTAGTGTAAAGTTACAAAATGTTGCAATATTTTGGTGTAAAGTTACAAAACGTAACAAACCCTGAGTCGCCCCAGCATGATGCCTCTCCATAGCTGTAGTTTACCATATCTATGCCACTGTTTATCACTCGGATCATCTAGGTCACCAATTGTTATCAATCGAATAGGGAAGGAACAGAAAAATGAGTCACATAACATTCTCTCAATTTGAGTTCATTGTCATTTTTGAAGCATAATATTTTAACAAACAATAAAACTGACAACTTAAGAGGTGAATGATTTTTAGAAAAATGTGGCAACAATCTCAACAGAAACTAACAGCTCGAACAAGAGCCGTGCCGGACTCCATGTTCTGTAGCCTTCCATCTCCAATTTTTATAGAAACAATCTGTGCCCCAGGTGCCACACCACACCTCTCGGGTTCATTTTCGAAATAACCAGCTGCTATTGAAGCCACATGTGTTCCGTGAGCGCCTGCAGTAAAAGTTCACCATGAGTAATTTCGTAACTTTAAATGTTTGCTGCATGATTGAATCAGATCTTTACTTTATCAATATTTGGTGAATATGAAATATGAATGTTGCTTATACTAATAGTAATGGGTGGACTGCAAATAAACTTGGTGAAGTCCAAGAAGGTGTAGTAATTTGGATCTAACTGTTTAAAATGATAAATGCACTATGTACTAACAAACTAACTAATATAAAATAAATTTATTGAAACCACAAATATAAACATTAGAAAATGAAATATCAAAACAGAATCAATGAAGTATTCAAATGAGTAAAATTGTTGCATTCTCATTGAATGTATGGGGTACAATAATTATCTCTGAAATTCATTAAAACAGTAGAACAATCTGATATGAAATGACAACTACCAGTATTTGTGACAATTTCCAACAGATTCCCATCATTGTAAACGTTCAAAACGTAATTCATCATGTCTGCATTGGAGTAAATAATGGCACAATTTAAAAATTTAAATATAATGAATTCAACGTACAACACCACATAAAAAAAAAAACAAAATTAAAATCTAGAAATCATTCAAACTTCACTAAACAACCACCACACCACACCAAACTAAACCAAACCACACCACACCATACCACACAACACTACACAGGCCTAAAACACACAAACACACCACAACACGACACAACATAACATAACATACAATCAACACCCACATACCAACATAACATAACATACAATCAACACCCACATACCACTTTCACTGAATGTTCCATACTCTCTTTCCTCTTTGTACGATGCTAGCAGCTTGCACAGGTACAAGTCCCCGACACATGTTGTGTCAATACAAGCCCTGTCATTTCATTTCATTTCGTTTCATTGGTTCATAAACATTATAGTTACATTGAGGTATCTTCCATCAAAAAGCATAGTGATAGATAAACTAATTACATTTTTTATATAAATTATAAAATAAAAAGTAATACATTAATTGCAATATTATTAAATAAAATAAATTTTTTAACCTCCAAGTGTTACCATCATGAAAGACCACACAGTCAAACACGGGACCACAATCATCAAACTTTTTATCCATATTTTGTAGGATCTCCACTTGAGCTTGGTAATCTTCTTTCAACAACTTGTCCATCTAGCAAAAGTGTGCAAGCATATTATAAAGGCAATTGCATATGTAAATAGCATCCATTGAAACTAAAACATTGTCAGTCACAAATTTACCTGAGTTGGATCTATATGTTTAGATTCAAAGTCATCTAACTGTGCATAAGCCTGAGTGAGTTTTGCTCTGTGAGGCACATCAAACACCTCTGTTTTATATTCTTTTGTGAGCCTCTCCTTCAATGATTTTGGAAACACTTGATACGCAACTTTCAGTCCAATGTGATAATCCCTTGTTGGATTGTTCCAGCTTGCTGGTATCTAGATGGACAATTTTTTTAAAAGAGTAACATAAAACACAACCAATAATATAATACAAATCTTTTTTAATTTTGATAAAGACTATTTAAAGACTTATCAAACAAATTATTAATAATTAATCAATTAATAATTAATTTTAATTATAGAATAAAATATAAATAGAGAACCTTTAAAACTCTGCCAGTTAAGCCAATGATTTCTCCATTCTGTTCCTTCACAATTGTTGAAGTGTTAACATCCCCTGTTCCTGTTGCATCATATATATCTATAATTTTTGGCCTGCCATCAGATGTATACTGCAAATTAAATTAACAAAATATTAAAAATTAAAGTATTAAAATTTAAAAACTAAAAACTTAATACTGAATTGAATTTTAAATTCAATCAATTCAGTTCAGTGATTTGCTTGATTTGATCTTTGATGAAATACTAAAAAAAAACTGCATGGCCCAAAGACGACATAAAAAAACCTGCAAGCCTGAAGCCCCCGGATCTACGCCAGTGTCAAGAATCGCAATGACCACGTTGCGACCATCGTATTCTGGATACTTGTTAAGAAATGATTTTGCACCAGTCTCCTTTTTTGGCAAAGTACCATCTGCAGGGAAATCTAAACTCAACATACCTAAAAAGAAAATAAAATCAAAGTAAGATAAAACGCAAAAAAAATAATCAATACAAAATTTTGAAAAAATTAAATCATGTTAACCGCAAAATTAATATTTAGTGTTAAAAAACCAAGTTCCAACAGCTGAAAAACGTCAAGAAAGTTGATCAAACTAAGAATGCTAGAACGTCAGATGTTTGATTAAAAGTAAATGTAAAGTTATTGATTTTTTAACTTAGGTATTGAGCTATAGAAAATAGACTTGAGGTTAATAACATAAAGCACTGATGTTATAATTACTCTTAATTAAAATTCATTTTTTAATTAAAACTTTAAATACAATATAACAAATAATTGACGCCAATATTGCTTTTGCTTCCAAGTAAAGCTTAAAACGGGAAGATAAGGCCACTTCAGTTTAGCTTTTCTTTCGCGGAAATTTCAGTCAACATCATAGCTATTTCTTCTCTTTTATTACCTCGGACTGTACAAATGTAAAAATTTCATTTCAATTTCACTTTATATATTCTAAGTATATCGGTCACACAGATAGGTCAATCGTCTTGTCTTATTCCTCCTATATATTGGTTGCAATAGAGATTCTCAATAGATTGCAACATTATTAAAAACCAGTTGAAAACAAGCTCATAACTAAGTCATCGAGGCATGAAGCTCTCACGTACGATTGCACGGATAGTATCAGCGAAAATAAGAATATAATGACGAAGACACTTTTTTCTAGGTCAACAATCAGATTAAGTGCTTTTTTCAACTTTCACAGTTAATAAGTTGATCGAATGAGAATTTTCAAGCGAAATATTTGAAGGATATCTCACGGATGATTATTGTTTTGCATATACTTAGAATCCTTAGAAATATCCTTTTTAAACATTCGATTACTTGCATAAACATCGGTTACCGAACAATTGAAGAAATTGAGCAGCCCTGCTAGTCGAATGTTGATTCCTTCTCGACGACTCGGATATTATTACTTTCATTTTTAAAATGTTCGCTGCCACTAAAGTTCTCAGGTTGCTGCATCCAAATGTGGCCCGAGGGGTGAGATTAACTTTTTGCCAAGTTAAAAATATGCCATCAGTCATTTTGTAACCGCCGATGTCTCCGTCGGTGAAGGTCACCAATGCAAAAAAATTAAATAAAATGTCATTTCTTATCCAACTTTAATTTTACTAAAAATTTTAAATTAAAATGTTGAATAATTATTTATTTCTTGTGTGTTTCCAACATTTTTTATTTACTAAATTATCTGTCTGTAAACACCAGATGCAGAACACTAAAGAGTGGGTAAGGTTGCAGAGTACAGTGGCAGAAGCTATGATTGAAATAAAAAACGTCAGTTAAGTTGTTAATTTAATAAAATTAAAGTTTGTTTTTATTATATTATTATTATTATCAATAACTATCATAGATACATATAATATATATATATACATACAGTAAAACACACTAACTAAACGAAATTAATTTAATTTAATGCTAAATAATGTTTTTTTGGATGATTTTTGTTGTGTAGTATCATATATATATATATATATATATATATATATATATATATATATATATATATATGAAAATAACATTTTCATATATTTTTCATAGGCTTTTATGATTGAAAATCATATTATAATCTAATTTTTTTTTTCCTTAGTTAAGTAATCTCTTGAAATTAAAAATTTATCTTTAGTTTTCTTAAAGAGGCCTTAGACAAATTTTCTATTGTTTTGTTAGCCATGCAAGTACCACAAACTTGATGAAGGAATTCCCACGACAGTGAAGGTGACAAAGGAGGAGGCTTCTAAGTACTACCACCAGATGCAGCTCATCAGAAAAATGGAGACAGCTGCTGGAAGTTTATATAAAGAAAAAAAAATTAGAGGGTTCTGCCATCTTTATTCAGGACAGGTAGAATCGTTATAAAATAAAGTCACTAATAATTAGTTGTCTTAATTGCCTTAAAATTGTTTTTCTAAATCTTTTCTGGGGTTTTGGAATTCATTGAAATGAGATTTTTAAAAAAATAGTTTACTGATAATGTGCTGTTTTTAAGAGGTTTTACAATTTTATTTGATATGTTGTTAGATTAAAATGACTTGAATTTCTGAATTAGTTCATTTTGTTTGTTTGTTGGATGTGATTCACAGGAAGCATGTTGTGTTGGCATGTCGGCAGCTTTAAGGATATCAGATGCTGTGATCACATCCTACAGGGCACATGGTTGGACTTACATCAGAGGGCGAGCTGTTGCCGATGTTCTCGCTGAACTCACAGGCACGTCATTACATTTTTGTCTCTGTAAATTTACTTTTGTTGCACTAGTTTACTGATTTGGTATTGAATAAAAAACTTCACATTCCTGTTGTAAATATCATTTTATTTCAGTTTAATGTATTTTCTCAGTTATTTAGATCATATTTTATCTATCTCCAATCCTGGGTCTAGTTACATTTAAAAGGTTACATTAACATTCGAGCATCTTAGGTGATATTGTACACTTGTTAACAGTTGACCTTGGAGAGATGTTTTTGAATTTTTACCTTTAACTTACTTAACAATTTTCTAACGTTTCTCTTATAAATGTTTTTTTAAACCAGATTATATAGACATTCATAAATATTTTTATTATTTATACTTTGCATCTTTTGTTGATCTTTGAAAAACTGTACTTTAGTAAACATTTTTTCAACTCTCACCCTATCTATAACATTTATTTTAAAGGATTAGCCTGCCTATGCTGTAATATCAAAATATATTGCAATTGATTTTTTCTAAAAAAAAAAAACAAGAGGTTGAATTAAGGTAGTACTAAAAATTGACAGGCAAGTCAACAGGTTGTGCAGAAGGAAAAGGTGGGTCGATGCACATGTACGGACCAGGATTCTATGGAGGCAATGGCATTGTTGGTGCTCAGGTACGTCACCTTCAACAACTGAATTGGTTCAGATAAACAATAATTTTGATAATTTTATTTTAAAATAAATTTCCATTGCTATTATCCGTTTAGGTTCCGCTGGGAGCTGGAATAGCCCTGGCCTTCCAGTACCAAGGTAGAGATGATATATGCATTGCATTGTACGGTGATGGAGCAGCCAACCAGGGTCAAGTGTTTGAGGCTTACAACATTGCCAAATTATGGGACCTGCCGGTGTTATTTGTTTGTGAGAACAATGGCTATGGTATGGGTACCAGTACTGATCGAGCGTCTGCAAGCGTCTGCTACTACACCAGGGGAGATTACATTCCAGGCATATGGGTCAGCCTTTCCATTTTATAGTTTCAATAATGTTTGCAATATAATTTATAAAATACCAAGCATCTACAATTGATCAACAGAAGTGCAAAAGTTTTGCTTTTGAAATATTGAAAACTTCGAAACAAGACTTGGCAACTAAAAAAAAGTCATATTAATTTTATCTTGATAGGTAGATGGAATGGATGTGATTGCCATCAGAGAAGCTACAAAATTTGCTGCTGAGTACATGAGAGCAGGTAAAGGACCACTTGTTATGGAAGCTGCCACATACCGTTACCATGGGCACAGTATGAGTGACCCTGGAACCAGGTTTGCAAGCTTTCATTCTTTATCTTTATGTTGGTGTGGGTCGTTTGATTTTAAACCATAGATTTTGGTGTTGTCTAACTTTATGGCAATGTAGAATGTTGTTTTTGTCTTTGCTTAGATGCATGTAAGCTGTTGTTTTCATTAATAGTGATGTGTGCTCTGATATTGTTCATTTTTATGGTGATATAAACTATTTTTTTTTGTTCGTGGTCTTAACTGTTAATATTTTCTGTTGGTTCAAACTGCAAAAAAATAGATTTCTTAAAAGTAATTCTATTACATGCCTAGTTATATAAGAGGATTTTATTTTACCCGTAAAAACTTATTTTATTTGTGTTTAATCATTTTAAAAAATGGAATACACGTTTTTAAATTACATTGTCTTTCCAAAATGGTTGTATTTACAAATAGTATATAGTAATATAGGATGTTGAACACGTCTGTGTGATAGTAATTAATATTTAAATAAGTCAAAAGCATTTCTATTGTCTGCCAGCTACCGAACCAGAGAGCAGATTCAAGAAGTGAGGCAGAAGAGAGACCCAATCACCGGTTACAAGGAGAGGATGATTGCAGCTAACCTCATGGTTCCTGAGGAGTTCAAGGTTCTCCTCACATTCTTTTCTTAAAAATGTCATAGCTTCATATTTTTAAAGTTTTAAATATTTGCTAACATCTTTCACTGAATACTTGAATGATGAATAACACACCGACAGGCGATCGATGAGAAGATCAAGGCGGAAGTTGAGGATGCAGTGAAGAAGGCAAAGGAAGATCCAGAACCAGTCCTTGATGAGTTATACACCCACGTTTACAGTGAAATACCCAAGAACTACAAGATTAGAGGATGTGACCCCAGCATCCTCATCACTCCAACTAAATGAAGATGAGATAGCATCATGAGCTGAAAAGATCTTACGTCAATCATATTACGTCATTGTGAAATAAATTTTTATTTTTATAATATTAAAATTTCATTTGTACGAATTTTCGTCGGAAAAATTTTTGGAATTCGATTACACGAGATGTAATATAGAACTTTAGGTCAGTTGTTAGCTTCACGTTTATTGATATTTTTTGTTTTGGATTGTTTACCTTGGCTTAACATTTTCATTTTTTCTTTAAATATGGTTTCAAGCCTCCTTTTATTTATTTAAATGTTCCCAACCATTTGTAAAATAATTTGGAATTTATGATCAGTTGTTTGTTTCATTGCTTCTTTCTTTTAACATTTTTATTTATTTCAATTTCAAAGTTGTTTAGTTTCAAAAGTTTCTATGAGAAATTACCAACAGCATTAACACTCGCCTATCAAAGCGTTCGTGTCCTTAAATCTGATTATTCAACACAAAATATTACAGAACAAACTTTAATTGGAATTTTTGTTATACTGAATGAGTAATTTTTTTGAATGAATTTGTTAAAACTCTCAATCTCTAAATGCTTATCCAGTTCCTATATTTTGTTACAATAAACATTAATGTATATGTGTTTTGTGTACTTTTAGTTAAGAAATTGTTGATGGAATCTTTTATTTGAAGCTGGAATGGAGTAATAGTGTAAACAACTGTTATGTATCTCATATTGTTTCGATGTTAACAAAATTTGTTAATAAAAAATTTTCGATCTCCAAACATCTATTTTTGCGTTTCCGTGATCAGAAATTAAGTCAAATTCTAGCTTTGCTGAAATTAAATATGATGACATATATAGATGCATGATTAAGATGTGGGTAGATAGAACCGTTATATAGAATTATTCAACGAATTTGGAACGTACATTCGAACGTCTATTGTAGTGTAAGATTAACAAAAACCGAGTTTGGTCGATTAAAACGATTTATTCTATTTCAAATTATTTTTATAACGCGCCTTGGCTACCGGAGTTTCAAAAAGTTCGGATCTAAAATAACCGATATTTCTGTTAAAACTCACTTTAATATGTTGCTTTTTGTACATGATAAGTACAAACCAATTATACCGGTTATAATAAACATTAATTTATTTGAAAAAGCTTTGGATATAATCTTGTTAATCGAGAACAAGCTTTTACGAAAATATTGGATTAAACCAAAAACACCCGCAAAAATCACAAAAATGAAAGATGGAACTAAACAAATGTTTAGGTGACATGGAAGAGTCTAAAACAAAACCGATTGTATCAATTCATACAACTACATCCATCCAATTCATACAACTACGTCCTATCTTTACAACTACATGTTTCAACTCATTCAAGATACAAGCATCCAACTCATCTACCCACGTGCATCCAATTCATACGATGCTACTTCCATCATCAGCTACCGCAAAGTCAGGGGTGCTGGTGCAGAGTTGGGCTGCAAACGAAAGTGGTTGGAAAGTCGGAGTTGTTTCGGAATCACTGTAAGCTAACTGCTCTTCACTGGTTGCAGGTCGGATTGGTTTGTTGCTTGTGGTAGTAGGCTTTCTTCTCAGAATGTTGGGCAGTTGAGCAGGCGGGGGCATCAAGGAAGAATAATCTTGATGGCGGAAAGGTTTCGTAGAAACTGGAGATATCACAGGATGCGAATTTTCTTTCTCGTGGTAACTCAATGGACGGGATATGGAAATCTTGTAATTGAAAAAATTGTGGTTAAAAGCAGGAGGCAATCAAGTAATTTACCCAAATTGAAATTAAATTAAGCAAATATTAGTATGAATAAGGCAACTCTAAAAGATTTGTAACATGGAAGAACATAATAAATAAGACCTGGTTGAGTTTGTTGGTGGATGAAGCTGTAGGGTAGTTAATGATTGTACCCATTTTACGAGGCAACAAAAACTGTTGTGATCTGTTTGATGCTGCGTTGCCAAGGTAGGCTTTAGCTAACTTACCTGCGGTTATGGTAGGTGAGAAAATTTCATCATGCAATTTACCAAATTCATTTCGTAACCTATATCTCCGTTATCATTATTTCGAAACTTTAACAACTTGGAAATATTAAAAAAATGAAATTTTGTTTCGGATCACTATAACATTTTTTAACATCACAGTAATTTCATCTTTAAGAAAACTTGAAATAAATGAGCTATTAAACGTTCTTTCAAAACGATTTTTCAAACAACTCATCATCAATATCATTTATTTATAAAATTAAACAATATTAATTATATCAAGTACCTTCAATCAGCATATCAAACATTCAAAACGACCAACCAGCTATTCAGCCAACCAAACAACCAGCCACCAACCAAACAATCAACCATCCAAACAACCAGCCAACCAAACAATCAACCAACCACTCAGTCAACCATCTAACCAACCAGAGTAATCTCTAATGCTGGCATCAGCCTTGTAGACTTTGACGAGCTGTTCAACGATATCCTCGCGATTGCCCATTGAAGCAAGATGCAATGGCGTGTAGCCTCCCTGAGTTCTGCAATTTCGACGAAACAATTTTTAAATAAATTTAAAATGATGATTTATTTGGTCAATAAGACATAATCCAGAAGAAAATGTTAAATATCATAAAATGTGAAAAACCTTTGATTAACATCTACAGAGTATTTTCCGCACAAGAGCTTCACAGCATCCATCTGTTGATTTGATAAGAATGAGATGAGAGAAAAACAGATGTATGTTTTCAGAAACCACCATAAAAACTAGTTAGCTTTAATATATTCAACATCAAGTTTAATGATTTATTAATGTGAAAACAAATCATCACTCAACAACAAACTGGAATCCGAACAAAAATTCAACATATGTGAAGAATTTGAAAAATGTAAAAACACAATGAAACAGAAATTATTTTCACAAGTCTAACTTCAACCAGATATTTGAGCTAGAGTGCACAAAAATTTTCTTTAAAAAATATTTCAGCGCTTTCTAACAACAATATTTATTATATTAAACATAATCATTGCAAAAACAGGAAATTAGTAATTTTCAACAAAAGGGACGATATGTTGCAACGATTTATTGGCATGTCTCTATAGTTATTGATATTTTATCAAAATTTGAAATATGTAAACATTATTTAATGGCTAAAAACACATAAAAAAATTTTCTTTTCGAGAAGAAAGTAGTAAAGACAGAAACGCATACATTTCCATTCTTACAGGCCCAGTGTAGCGCATTGTAGCCCGTTATGGGGTTCCTCGAGGGCGCCAAGTGAGGTGTCGTCTGTAGGAGTTTGCACATGGCCTGGTAATCACTGATGCATGATTTCAACATCCACTCACGATCCAGGTCCGTCATCACCACGACGTCCAATTCACCATTCACTTCCGCCAACTAAATAAACAAGTGATACAGAATTTTCAAATTTTACCATCAAATGCTTCCAACTATACCATTAGTTTTTTTTCTAAATGAGGCAGTTATACATTATGAATGAACAATAGAATTATTTCAATGTACACTTCCCAGAATCAGTAAGATGTCATCTTATAACAATTAAATATATTATTCTAATTAATCTCATGTATCAAAACACTTTAAAAATTAAAAACAGATCATCCAAGCCAACATCCGCAAGTTATAGAACGAATTAAAACAGCTGGAAACTTGAAAAGACTAATACTGAAACGCAATAGTCTGGAACGTTGAAGCAGTGCTATTTATATAACAGCCACACACATGCATAATGAATGAGAATGCAAATTCAATGGATAAGTAGGAGCATGTGCCAAATATTTTGGCTGATTTTATAATTCAATGCATATAATTGAAAAGTTCATAATAAGTCAAAGCTGCATTCCAACAATCCATCCATCAATAAATTCATTCATAAATGTAAGCAAAAAGTGATAAAAAAATTTAGAAAAATAATGGTTTATTTATTTCTGCTTCAAATAGTTATTGAGATTTTAATAAAATAGTTTTGTTTTCGGTTGTTAGGGTACACAAGATTGTGATTAATCTTAGATTCAACATTCCGTGCCGGTTTTGATGTTACTATGACTCTGCAGATGTTTCAACATATCCACACCAGATATATGAAAAAAATTGAAATCTTAGCCAGTTTCAGAACAGAAAGCAAACTCTTATTGATAGCTTCAGACTTTTTGATTCAAAAAGAATCTAGAACAAACAACAAAGCAGGATGTAGAGTAGTAACAATTCTCATAACCAACTTTTCTTGTGTCTCTTTTGGATTTTACGTGTGTCTTTGAAATGTTTGAAATTGATGATGTGAGTGATGTTGCATCAAAACTTATCGAATCTTTAGGAAGTTCTTTGACGTTTTTGACAAATGGTTTCTGTCAAAACAAAAACTTGTTGATAAATTATATCAAAACAACATTGTAAGTGATGAAAACTGTTGAAATTTAAAAAAAAATCATAATTAAGATATTTAATAAATGTTTTACCACACGAAGAAGAATGCTAATTAGAAACTAGATTTACTCTCTACAGATCAACTTAATAACTCATATGAACAAACTGATAAACAAAATGCTGAAGCTAAATTGTTTCAACCAAATCTTAAACTATACAAAAGAAAAAATCATAATTTTTCCCAAAAAAAATTCAAATCTAATTATCCTACTTTTAAAAAAACGCAAGTAGAAAGCGGTGATAATTAGTGAATTGTTTGTTTGTAGAAACCACATATACAGTACAAATTAATTCAATTACGCTTATTGATTGGATGTTAAAATTAAGTCATTTTAATTTCAATACTTAAATATGTCTAGATATTTACGAAAGCACATTCGGTTGTTAGGATTAAGATTTCAGGTATTAAAATCGAAATAAACCTGTGTGAGTATAAAGACTAACTTCATGCACGGAAAACCCCACATCTCTGTTTCTGTCTTCTCTAGAAGTGGGTATCAATGATGACAATTGTATAGATGACGATGAGGATGATGACGTCATGGTGATGTTCTGATCAGAAGAACATTGTCCCTTAGTGCTTGACAGTGATGAGGAATCGAACGAATTGAACAGTGATAAACCTTTCACGAGTGCAAATTAAGAAAACATTTTTTAATTGTCAACTATTTAGTGAATATTGTAAACTATATAAAATAAACAAATTAATAAAATTTAAAAAAAAATAACGCAAAAAAAACAACAAAAAACTTTGCAATAGACCCATACCAAACTATGAATTCACTGGACAATAAATGTTAAAAGCAGAAAAAAGCAAGCAAGTACAACAAACACATCATCGCTTCACCATGAACTACCCTGCATAGCAGCACTCAATCCCTCTTGCAAACAGTTGTTAGAATGTTGCTGGAAAGTTCTACAACTTTCAACATCTGCAGCATTTAAAGTTTTTTCCTCTTTCACAGCTTCAAGTCTCTCTTCAGCCACCTGTTCAGGTTGATCAATTTTTTCAGCAGCAACAGCAGTAGCTTCAACCACCTCAGGTGACTTGATAGATTCCGTCTGTAAGTGATTTTCACTGGTGCTTTCTAACAACCTTTCATATGATTCAGTTGTTTTCAATTCAGCATCCTCAACTAATGTTTTATCCTGGTCATGATCTTGATCTTCATGTTTTGTGAACTGCTGCTCTTCATTAGCCTCCTGCTTACTAAGAAGTTCTTCTTCACTTGAAAATTGAACCGGAATGCCAGATGAAACAACAACTTTTCTTTCCTCCTCATGCTTCATCCCCTCTTTCTTCTCTACGACAACTTCAGATTGTGCACTAGCAGAGGCAGCATGCTCATGGACTTTTGTTTTGTCTGATGCCGTTTCTTTTGTTTGCAAGGCTTTCGCTGGAGTTTTTGAAGATGTCGATACTACCTGTATAATTTAATGAAAGAGAATTTATTATATATAATTGATTCAATTATATATATATGCAACTATATATATATATATATGCATATATTATACATTGGAAAAAATTGAGCAATCCTTTAATAAATTCTATCATCACTGTCTTGAAGATGTTCAAAATTTAATGAAAAAAATGGTTAAACACAATAATAAAAATAAGTAAGATGCAAGAAAACAATAAAAAAAGCAAATTTAAAAGTTAATTCACTTTTTTCTCCTGTATAGGCACTTGTTTTGGTGGCTCTGATGATGGCTAAAAGATCATTAAAAGTAATGTTTTTTAATATTCAAATATAAATATTTTTTATTAAATTTGTTAATTAATTTCAAATGAAAAAACTTTACAGAACCTAGTTCTTTATCTTATTAATTAATTATTCATAATTAATTAATTAAAATACTGAAAAATGATGATATCAGAAAAATTTAATTTTTTTTTAAACAAGTTTTAAGATAATAAACTATGTCTCTATAAATTATAAAAAGATGAGAAATTTGTTAAAAGTTCTTCTTAGATAGACTTTAAAGACTATCAAATATTATATTAGGCTTAATTAAGCTAATCAAATACAAATTCAGTTGTTTGTTAAAAACCCAAAACATAAAAAAGGACTAAAATTAAAAACTTAAAAAACTCATCCCATCTCTGTTCAATCATTCAATCAAGTGAGTGACCTCAAAAGAAGCAGAGGTAGCTCCACCTTCAGTTCCATCTCGAAACTTTTTCTTCAGCACCAACAGTTTCACACCAGATGGATCTATTTTGACACTTGCCAGGTTGTTGACATAAGTCTTGAATTGCTGCCTGTTCGCTACTTTTCTTACTGGATCATTTAAAAAATTTTTAAAATGTGTCACCAGAACAGGATTTGAAACTTTTCCATTGTGAGAAAGCATGAACTCTCTCACAATTTCTTCGGTGAAGAGAGGATCAGCCATAATCTTTTTATCAAATAGTGGAAATAATATCACGTTTTATTTAATTATATTGTACTTTGAAATATTTTTATTTATTCGTGTATCTGTATGTATGCACTAATTAAAACTAAAAGTAAATTGAAGATCAAGCCCCACCTTTATTTATTAAAGGTAAGTTTACTTTTAAAAAAATGATGCCATCCGTCTTAGATCACTGACATACAGGAATTTTCTTTCCAATGAAATAACAAATGTTTAAATTTATTTTTCCAGGCTGATTTCAAATCTGAAAACTATTTTCAAAGGAAAAATTTTTGACCATCATTTTTAACCTTTTCTAACTTATAAAAAACGAGCAACCTTGGTTTACGAAATGTTCACTGATCGGTACGTAGGACGCCAGATCATGGATATATATACATACATACATATATATATATATATATATATATATATATATATATATATATGTATCAAGCGCCAGATTCAGGCTGAAATGAATGTATTATCCAAGTGTACGAGTTACGATAAAAAAAAGTGAAATTTAGCTGCTAGTGCGGAAATACGCAACTTCAGACGCATGCTATGCGGCATTTTACATCAGATTTGCTACTGTAACGATGTTAACAATCTCATAACGTATCTAGGCCGTGAACGCTAAGTCACGAACTGGCACCTCTTCGTCGATGCTTCAAAGACGAGTCAAAGAATAGTTGTGCTCTTGCATAACATCAATTGTCAATTACAATTGCAGGCAAATTTCGAGTATGCGTTCCTCTTCATTTCATGTTTCAACATCTTAATATTCAAGTTTTCAGTTAATTGGCATCTACAAAAACAGATTTGACTTCGGAAAAAAATTTTTAGCATCTAATTTAATGGCACTGGAATAAAACATGCGATGCCATCATTAAAGCATGGCAGATTCATTGTAGCTAGCTAGTACAGCTATCATTGCAATATGATGTATGCGTTCCACGCGAATTTGTATCTTTTCTAGTAAGTATTGATAATTGTTATCAATGTCTAGCTTTAAGCTAATAATAATAACTATTATCATTGATGAAACTGAGTATCATCGTCAATTACCTAATGGTCAATCAGCGATATCTCGAGATGCAGCGTGGATTGAACAATGCGATGGGAGGCACGATAGCGTAATAGTATGATTAAGGGGCCTAAATTCAAGTGTAAACACATACACTGAACTGAGTATTTCGTTGTTGACGCCCCTGGAGGGTGTTGAAGAGAGAATTGAATAAATAAATAAGACGTCTTTTTATATTTCACGTTTGCAGTTTAACCCCTCACAAAGCAGCCGTTGCATGATTATTCTAAAAATTTGACTGGAAGCGAAATGAACCAAAATTTTGAAATCATTTTCTTACCACTTCGTAAACTTTTAACGCAAACGTAACTGAAACTTATAACTAAATAAGACTTGGTAAATGCATGCAACAAGTCTTTTGAAACGCCAGAACTTTAAACTTTAGCGAAAATAATTTTTGAAAGTATATAAAATTTAAAATTTTTGATCTTATATTATTTTAATAAAAAATTTTAAAACATAAGAAAGTGACCGATATAATAAAAAATTAATGAACAAAAAAGGGAAAATGATTTAGTACGAATAATCAAAAAAGTAGAAATCAAACTGGAGATATTTTTAGTAAAGATCCAAATAAGAAATGCTGAATCACCGGAAATTTGGACAAAACCTAAAAAATTAATTTAAAAACTATATTAAAAATTTAAGATAGGACACAAAGGATGTGTGGGTTGGAGAAAATTGAATGCAAAAATATATAAAAGATTATGTAATAAAATGCATCAACCTCAGCTCTGTACATCTTTATGAGGCCCTGATTAACTTTGGCCCAACTTGGTACGCCGCTGATATTCCAAAGTTGATTCGAGTGCTCTGCAAATGGTCCTGATTTCACCTTCAACCAAATTATTACAAATAAAATTACCATAAAAATAGATAGATTCATGTTCGTTTATTTCACGGATATCTTTAAACTTATATGTTATAATATATCTTTCAAGTGAGGTGAATACAACCACTATATTTCTGATTCATGTGTAGTTTCATGCTCAGGACAAACCTTGTTAATATATTGGATACAACCGAAAAACATGTAATCTTTAGCGAATGTGTTACATATGTCCAAGTCTAAGAAAGATTTGGGTCTCAACTGTTTGTGATCTGTTGTAATAAGTAAAGTAAAAGTAATCATCTCTTAGACAGAACACTAACAAACAGTAAATGAAAATTTATTTTCTGTTATTTTTAGAGTCAATTAATTAGAAAAAAGTGAGTGGAGAAAACGAGAACAGAACAAACCGATAAGTTGAGCGCTTCCCCATATGAAGGGTATGAACTGATAATCATCAAGGTTCCAAACACCCTGACTACCTGCTGGCTCCAGTCTGTATGTCATCTGAACTTTGCGCATCAACTCTATGTAACTGTAAGTTGCAGCATGACTCATCATTCAACACATGACCACAAACATCATTTTCAATCATTTAGTATTTTAATATTATTAAATCCGTGAAATTATATCAAAATAAATAAGCATTTCAAAATGGTTTACAATTCGTTTTTCAACTTTAAATAAGCATCTCATAGCAATTTAAATCTACAAAATAATTTTCTCTTTTTACATTTAGCAGTTTAAAAGCAGTCAATTTAAAACTAATGTATGAAACAATTGATAATGATGAACTTGTGGAAAACTTTGCAAACAGCTGCCTGTGCGTCTTCAACTCCCAGCGCTCCAATTTTGTAGCAACAACAGAGGAATGCCACAAAGGCTAGTTCGTGACCTGCAGTGTCAATAACATGAGAGAAAACAACATCAGGTGAAGAGTGAGAGATATAAAAATTTGAATTTAAGTTATTTTACGGCAAGTTATCTTAAACAAGAAAAAAACAATGAATTAACCTGTTCCATAATCGATTCGAATTGGGTTTCCTATGCTTTCAACCAGATATACTGATATTTCATCTATTGCGTTGTTGTATTTTTCATCTAAAGCTTTTTTCACCAACTCTACAGCATTCTTGAAAAATGCAAATTTAACAAATTTACGTGTATATAAAATATAAGGATAATTAAATTAAAAAAAATCAAAACTTGATTTATAATTGGTTTTCCAAATAAAATTATTGATTTTTAAAGTATTTTAAAGACATATCTAGTTAAACAAGTTTTTAGGTAACATGATAAATATAAAGAGCAAAAATTATGCATTAACCTCTTGAACTTTTTTGAACCAATCCCTGAATGCTTTGTTGCCATATCTCTGTGGTTGGTCCAGTGGAGGTATCTCATCAAGCCACACATCCATTGTCTTCAACAACTCCAGCAGCCCTTCCACAGTCTTTGGAAATTTCAATGAAAAAAACTTTATAGAAAATAATGACTGATATAATATAAAATTAAAATACAAAAATTGAAAAACAAAACTAGGTAGGTGGTAACTAATTTGCTTCAAACAAGATTGATAACTGGAAAATGAACCACTGTTTCGGAATTAAAATTATTTAAGCTTAGTTCCTGGTACATTTTTCAATTTGATTTTTGAAATCTATTTGAATCTTTCAACATCATTTACGAATGTTTGCAAAAATATAAAAAATCTTATTCTAAATTTTAAGTTTAGGCAAAATTAAGCAAGAAAAAATCTTAAACACTTCAGAGAGAGGGCACGGATCTGTGAGTTTCTTATTCCTGACTGCCTCATTGAGGTAACAGATGAAGCTTAAAAGATCATGCAGAGCCTTTTAAGTATTTTTTTCAACTTTTAATTCTATAATTCAAATTTAAATGAAAAATGGGTCATAAACAAATCCAGGACTATGGAAATAATCATAAATAAATACAAATGTTCATTTATAAATAACAGAAAAACTGATGCAATTAACTGTTATTTATTGATTAATTTAAGAAGGTCACTTAGTTTATTATATTTTATTTTATAGCAATTTCATATAAAATTTGATGAAACATCAACCAAAAAGAAAGTATTATAAATATAATTGAATAATTGTTAATTGGAATGAACAGGTTACCTGACTTTTATCCCACTTGGAATTGATATCTTCTGGAAGAGCAATGGACTTCACAGGTTTAGAAAAACTGTGATGTGCATAATCAACAAGTGTCAGTAATTCCATCGAACAATCTGATAATATTATGCTCTATCTGTGCCAAAAAATCTCTGAATATTTCTGGACAATTGAAGTTTTGTGCTGGGTGTTGTTGATGTTAACCAGTTAACTGTTTACTTTTTTAAATATTATTAATTAAATCCTAAATGTTTAGCTTTAGTGAGACTTCAAAAATAGAATAATGACAGAAGCCTCCTGATTTAAAAAATTTTTCTTCTCTTCGATAGCAAGAGAAAAAGGAATATGTAATCTGAGATCTGATTTGAGGAGGATTCGGATCAGATCAGAGGAGACTAGGAGTGGGAAAGCTGGGAGTAAGAATTTTTCAAATTTTTGAATGATTTTGACCGATAACAAGCAAAAAAGCTAACAAATTTTGACTTAGATTTAACTTCGTTATTTGTTTACTTCAATAACGTAACGAAAAAGTAATTCTTTTGAATAAAATTCACCAATATTAGTTAAATTAAGAACACCTTCCTCACCTGTTCTTCAACTAGCCGATTTTTGGTTTAGTTTTTAAAAGTAAAAACTCTTGAGACCACTGAATTACAAACATGGAATTGTAAACTTTAAAATTTTGAAATTTTTAAAATTCAATGATCACATTATGACAAAATCGACTGGAAAAAAGTTTTATTAAAAAAATAAAAAAATAAATAAATTTAAATAATTTGTTTTTCAATTAAGAATATATTAATCTAAGCAGCTAGCAAAACATAATATAGTTTTAATTTACATCACTTTCAAAACTATTTGAAGTTGATGCTTACTTTTAAAATTGCGCTTAGTTCATTTTTCTTAGTTTATACAGTTTATATAATACTACAATACGTTTATGAATAAAATTGAAACTTTTAACTTTTATTTTTATCTATTTAATTTTTAATGGGGGTTTTCCTAGCTGGAGCAGAGGTATCATTTTGCAATTCGCATCGTTAATAATTTTTCAACTTTATATAAAATATCAATTGTTATCAATCAGTCTTCTATATTTAAAAATGGTATTTATTTCCTATTTTATTTACTTACACAGTTTTACAACACTTATTGATTCATTGATTGGTACTTGATACATCAGATTGAGTGTTACATTTCTACATAGTACATAACAATGAACAAGTCTTCAAAAACAAGGATCTCCGATTCAGGTTTAGGTTTTTTGCCTAAGAAGTTGAGGAAGAACCTGATGGAGTTTCAGAAAGAGGGAATATTATTTGGATTGGAGAAACAAGGAAGGTTTGAAGAGAAATTTTTTTCATATCTATTCAATAATATAATTCAACCTGTTATTGTTTTTTGCATTTTTATTAAACAACTGACATCTTCCACAATATAACTAATTGATGTGTGCTAAACAATGAATATTTTTTTAACTTTTTAAAGGTGTTGGATAGCAGATGAGGTAGTATGTTGTTGAGATTATTCATTGTTAGTTTGTTTATTTTTTTAGTTTTACATCAAGCCTTGAAGCACTTTTTATGAGCCATTGTTACAATTAATAATTATTACTCATTTATAATCCAATTAGGTTATTGTAAATAATTATTATTGATCTGTGTCTGATTCATAAAGCTTTATCATTCATGGGTTCTTAATTGAAGCTTTGTATAGCTATTTTGTATGTGGATGAATTACAAGAAATTCAACCATATTTAAAAATTTTTACACTTTTTGTGGTTTTCATAAGTTTTTGTTCAATTAAGTTATTTAGTTGTTTGTTCTAAAATAAATTTCTTCTTTACACCTCATTGTCTCAGATGGGACTTGGCAAGACACTACAAGGTCTGTCGGTAGCCTATCATTATAAACATGAGTGGCCTCTCCTGATTGTCGTTCCATCTTCTCTCAAACTCCAGTGGGTCGATGAAATTGAAAAGTGGCTGATCGACATCGAGCCACACACGATCAATGTGATTGACAATGGTTCGGACATCAGGTTCTTTCTTTTCTTTCAAATTGTTTGGTATGACTGATGCAAAATTTTATCATTTAAAAATATCGTCCATTAAACAAAAAAACAAAAATTTTCTTAATTTGTTTGAAGTGGAATTTCGAGAAGTTTGATAACAATTGTCACCTACGGTCTGCTGAGGCACCCAAGCAGTCGAGGGGTACAACAAGCATTGTCCAATCAACAGTTTAAGGTCTCTTTATTTTCATCTTACAGTTCATGCATTTTTTGATAACTGTGTTGTTCACTACCTAATTTTCTTCTTTTATATGTATTAATGTTTTGTATAATCTTAATGTCAATTTGATGATGGAAAGGTTATTATACTGGATGAGTCGCACTACATAAAGTCTCGCACGTCATCCACCACAAAATTTCTCGTTCCACTCATTCAGAATGCAAGCAGATGCATTCTCCTCTCCGGCACTCCTGCACTCAACTGTCCTCAGGAGGTTTGTTCAAGTCAATTCTGTGTATGTCTGTGCAAGTCTCTGTGTGTGTGTGTTTGTCTGAGTCTGCTAGTTTGTCTGAATCTGTGTGTGTCTGTGTGTGTTTGTGCGAATCTGTTTGTGTATGAGAGAGTCTTCGCAAATTTGTTTACATATATATATATATGTATATATATATATATATATATATATATATATTCTGTATATAGCTCTTAATCTAGCTCTTCAATTATTAATGAATGACATTATAGGCATACATTTTTTTGATAACTGCATCACACACACACACACACACACTCATTGATACATATGATGTCTACAATTCTATGCATTTGAGCCAGGCTTGTGTAAAATTGATATATTTGATTGGAATCATCCCAACAATAATTATGTGCACTCATAAAGTGGGATTCACCTGTAGTGTATGCTTTGGTGTTTTTTTCGGGTTGACATTGTAAATATGCAAGCCATACTCATTATGTTCATTTAAGTTTTCATCTGATTTGAGTTATTTTCCAACTTTGTTTCTGTTAGTTACTTTAATTGTCGGTTATGTATTATTTATTATATTATACCTACACATCACTCACTTCTGCCAACACAGCTCTATCCACAACTGGATGCACTCTGTCCCAAACTTTTTCCTAACTGGAGCTACTTTGCAAAGAAATTCTGTGATGCCCAGTTCAAATATTTTGGAAGACAAAGAAGATGGGTAACAAAGTTGGTTCAGTTTCATGAACTTTCATTTATTTAATGTTTGCTGATTGTCTTTGCACAGACATCAGTTGCTGCTTTGAAAGTTGATTGCAATTATAATTGGATTGAACATAATTTGATACATGAAATTGTTCTGTTTCTGGCATACAGTGGGGCATGTAATTTGGAAGAATTGGAAGGTGTATTGAAGGATGGAGTGATGGTGCGGAGGATGAAGAAAGATGTTCTGCATCAACTTCCCGATAAGATCAAGCAGAGGATATTGTTCAGGCTGCAACGATCAGATGTTAAAAAGGTGGCAGGTCGTTGGGATATGTGAATGTTTGGATGAGTGGATTGAAAGGCTGAATAAATTGTTGATGGGTTTAGTTAGTCTGGCTTATATATTTATAATGCCACTTTGAATGTTTTTAAAGTTTGCATCTGAATTCAACTGATAGCTGAAATGGATGTTGTTACAAATCACTTACTCTATAGCTGTAACAATTGTTGTGATTAAATAAAAATATGATGACGATGACGACGACGATGATGATGATGTTCAGGAGATTGAGTGTGCCCTGGATGACCTGAAGAGCATGCTGTTCAAGAACAAGATGACATTGGAACAATTGATTATATTATCATCATCATCATCGTTGTCGTCCGTCTGTGACGTTGGTTCTCTCAACCAAATTCGATCAGCAATGACCCAGCTGTCCATGTTGACCTGTAGAGCGAAGGTCATTGGTGTTTGCTGGCAACATCATTTAATTTTTTCTAATTCTTTTATTGTTCATCAATCAAAAAATCAAATCAAATGATACAACAGCAATACAAAACATGACTTTCATACCAACAGAGCTAACATGTTGAATAATTTTTGCCAGGTTGGTCCAGTTAAAGAGCACATAAAAATGCTGTGTGAGTCCGAGAGTTTGAAGTTTATTATCTTTGCTCATCATCGCATAATGATGGACGCCGTCAACGATCAGCTGCTTGATCTGAAGGTTCCATTCATCAGGATTGATGGACAGGTGCCTGTGTCAGATAGACATGTACGTTGGTGGGATTGTTGGCATTTTGTTACCGCACCTTACTTACAAAGTTCTTGCTAATATTTTATTATGATAATATGATATAATCTGATATAATATAATATGATATGATATAATATAATATAATATAATATGATATAATATGATAATATTATTAATAATATTATCCTCGGATTACTTTTCACTGATGTGGTTACAACCGATTTACATTTGCAGCTACTGGTTCAAAACTTCCAGAACAATCCATCGACGAAAGTGGCTCTGTTGAGCATGAAAGCTGCAGGAGTTGTTAGTTGCGTCGCTTGTTACGCTATTTATTGCTGTTAATGAGGGCAATGATTTTAATGTTATGATGAATTATTATATTATTAATTATTATATTATGAATTATTATTATGATGTGTAGAAACATAATGGAGGGGTTGTTATTTGAGATTTTGTATGCAGATGATTTAGTCTTGATGGCTGATAGCATGGAATAATTGCAGTTAAAATTTGACAGATGGAAAAGTGTTATTGAAAAGAAAGGGTTAAAAGTTAATATTGGTAAGACGAAGGTAATGGTGAGTGGGGAAGGTGGGGAGCGAGTGATAAGTAAAATAGACCCCTGTGGGGTATGTGACAGGAGAGTGAAGGCTAACTCGGTATTGTGTATAGGATGTCAGAAATGGGTGCATAAGAGATGTAGTGGTGTGAGGGGGGCACTGAAAAAGGTGGAAGGCACGTTCAAATGTAAGAAATGTGTTCATGGTGTGATTAATAGGACGGACGCAAGGACGGGGTTGAGTGGTGGTATTGAAAGAGTGGAAAGCTTTGTTTACTTAGGGGATAAGCTGAACGCGGATGGAGGATGTTTGAGCGCAGTTACGGCTAGAGTTCGTGTAGGATGGATGAAATTTAGGGAACTGGGTGGGGTATTGTGTGGAAAGAAATGGTCAGTGAAGATGAAAGGGAGGGTATATAAAGCATGTGTGAGAGCAGCGATGGTATATGGTGGTGAAACTTGGGTGTTGAGGAGAGAGGAGGAAAGTGTACTGCAGAGGGCTGAAAGAGCTATGGTGAGGATGATGTGTGGAGTTAAAGTGAAGGATAGGAGGAGTAGTACAGAGCTGATGTCAATGATGGGACTGAATGAGGACATTGTGACATTGATAAGGAGATCGAGATTGCGGTGGTATGGACTGTGTTGAGAAGGGATGAAAGGGTCGGGATTAGGCGAGCGTTGGAGTTCGAGGTTGAAGGAGTGATAGGAAGGGGTCGTCCGCGATTGGGATGGAGAGAGCAGGTGGAGAAGGACAGGGTGAAAACGGGGTTGCGTGATACTGAGGCGAGTGACAGATGTGGATGGCGTCGAGGGGTATTTCGGTTTCATCATAGGTAGCCAAACGGCAACCCCCGATCTTGGGGAAAATGTCGTCTAAACATGTGTTGTTGTTGTTGTTGATGAATTATTATAGTCTGAAGTTCATTACTACGTCGATATAATATTATTAGTCTGACGATGCTTAACTCTCAAAAGATTAGATGTATTTGATATGAATTCTACTTTTCGTGTGCAGGGTTTGAATCTGACTGCCGCCTCATTGGTTGTATTTTGTGAACTTGATTGGACGCCTGGCACAATGGACCAATGCGAAGATAGGGCTCACAGAATCGGTCAGAAATCAGCTGTCAACATTCAATATTTGATTGCCATTGGTTCATTGGATGAGTGGGTGTGGTCAGTGCTGGCAAGAAAAGTAACAAATCATTATCTTTTTTCTTTCATTTTGCTATATGAAACGTGTTTTTCCAAAATTAGACTAAAGTGTTATCAGTGGCGTTGAATGGAGAGAAGAAATTGTTGAAAGTTGCGAGAGGAGATGAGACTGTTGAGCAACACTTGAACAATGTTGAATTTTGTGATGTACAACCGACAAACCTATCTTCACAACATTTGAGACCACTGCTTTCAACGCAGGTTGTCACCGAGATAACATTATTTTTCACTGATTGTTATTCACAATTCAGCTGTTTTTAATACATCAGTAAATATATCAATGATGAATGATACCAGAACAGTAACCTTAGACCAATTTTTGTAAAGTTTAGTTTAGTTCAGTTATTGTTTATTGTTGATTTTAGTAACAGCAACAACAACAGCAACAATAATAATATTATTATTATTATTACTGTTATTATTATTACTATTATTGCAGCCAAGCAGTCAAAAGTTACTCATCGACTTCTTCCACTCACCGATATCATCATCAACACCTCTATCAAAATTTAAAACTAATAAAAAACTCGGTGATGATGACAAGAACAGAAGAAATGATAATGATGATGATGATGATGTGGCTAGAGATGATGATGATGATGGTGTGGCTAGAGGTGATGATGTGGCTAGAGATGATGATGACGTTCTCATTGTTGAAGGAAGTGGACCTCTTGAAAAATGTGACGTTGAAGAGAGCTTCGGTACTGCAAATGAAAATAAATTTAATAAAAGTTTGGATGAGAATTTTGTACATTTTAAAAATGGATTGCTTAAACGGAGATACAATGATGATGACGACGACGACGATGATGGTGAAGTTGGTAATGATGATGATGATGATGATGAGGATTTCGTGACGACTAATAAAAATAATAAATCGAAGAGTCGATTTAAAAGGAGGAAACTCTTTGATGACGTCAAATCCTCCACGGATCAGAGTAAGAAAATTAAAAACAATAAAAATAAGCTTAGTAACAAAAGTCACGTAAATAATAATAATAATCACAAGTTAAAAAACAATAATAATAATAATAAAAGAATTGTAACAGACAACAGTAATATTAATAAAAAAGCATGGAGTTGTGTATTTTGTACTTACCTAAACCACTACTTGCTGTCAAGTTGTGAAATATGTGGCAACAAAAAATGCGATAATAATAATAATAATAACAACAATAATGCTACTAATAAAAATAATAATAAAAACATAAGTAGTAACTCTGGTAACAAAAATGCTGCATGTATTGATTCTAATAAAGTTGCCGGTAATATTTATAATCACATTCATAAAGGTGATGAGGATGATGATGAACGAGTTAACGGTGATGATGATAGTAAAGGAAATATAAATGATGATAATATTGGGAAAGACAAACATAATGATGTAGTAAGTGAAAATAAAGATGATGACGATGATTGTCGCAACCGACAAGCAAATGATGAACTTCATATCTCTGATGTTGCGGATGGTTTACTGGAGTATGGTTCTACATTAACCAATCGTAATGAAAGTTTCAATGATGACGAAGATGATGGTGTTTGTGATGATTGCATGGAAGGAATGGCTGACATTCACTCCTTCTCCTCCCACGATAATGATGATGAAAAAATATTGAAACTTGGTGATAATTCTCACGAGAGTTGCTCTGAAGGAAAAGTTGTGAATGACGATGGTGCTAATATTTCTAGCGACGCTCTCATAGACAATACAACTTACAGCGAAGCTGGTACAGGGATGTTTGATTCCTCTGTGTTTGCTCATCACCTGTTGCAAATATCGTCAGGATCGTCTTCAGATGGCTCGCTGGCAAGGAAGCAGGCAGATGGAAATGATCTTCTTGCAAGCACTTCCTATGCTACAAATGTCCCGAAGACGGCAGAAAGTTCAACTGACGTAGAGTTCAAACCTTCTGCAAACTTTCGTGAAACTGATGTGCTCAACAAAGTTTTGGCCGAGGAGAGGTCTCTGTCAGAAGAAACGGCGGACATTAAAACAGAATTGAAAGAAAGCAAAAACAGACCTGACAATTTCGAAGAGATTGTTCCTACTCCACTCAGTGATGTTCTTATCAGTGAAGATGATGATAACGATGAAGATGATGATTATGATATTGATCACGAATTTTTGATGTTTAGGTGTAGCACGGTATCCAACAGAGTCTACATATACGACGAGGTTTGTAAGGTGGGACAGTGACGAGTTTACTGCTCCACTTTCATGTTCCTATTTGCATGCATGTTTTTTTGTTTGTTTGTACGCGTGTGCGTATGTGCAAATGTAGATACATGAATCAATGTAGCATGTGTGGTGGCACACGATGTCTTTAAAAAATCTTTCACCCGCCAATATGTCTGTCATCTTCACTATGCAGACAGGCAGATATTTGAAGCAGCACTTTGAGCCACCTAACATCGAATGCAACTGTTACGATGGTCTTTCGAGGAACATGAGGAAAAGTAGGCATTTGCACCTCATCAAGAAATTTGTCAGGGAGTGGAAGAGGTGGTTGGGTCTACGTTTATTAATTGACATCCTTACGATGAATTTTTTAAAATTAGCCTCTGCTAATTTACCTCAAAACAAAATTTTTACGTGATTTCTTGAATTCAGTTTAACGGAAATGAAGAGGCGAGTGGTGGCCTCATCGGGCGACCTCTTCATCAGCGCCCTCGTCCACTACGACGGCATCAAAATGAGGAGGAAGTCTTCGGATAAAAGATTCACTAGAAATGTTGGTGGCTGTGGTTTTGTTCAACATACGCACTGATGTAAATAAAAATAAAATCGAAAAATTATATAATATTATAATATTTTTCACGATGCATATTGGAATACTTACACGTTATCACCATTGAATTTATGCGTATTTGATTAGGTTGCATTTATTTTATGAAAAATTTGAAAGCGTGCATTTTAATACTGGCGCATATATTATTTCCCACGTAACATTAGTTAGATGTTTCCAGTGAGAGGACGCCAGCGGACAAGAACAACAGGTCGGCAGTGACGAGTTTGATGAAGTTCTTCAATAGGAAGTCCCTGGACGATGGGGGTGCTGGTGTTGGTGGAGGTGGAGGTGGAAGTTTTTTCGACAGAACTAAAATCAATGACATTGAAATTTGCAACGTCACCAACAGCAATAACAGTAACTATAATAATAATGATAATAACAACAATGATAATAATAATAACAACAATAATAATAAGAAGAAGAAATATGATACATCAGCCAATGAGGGTAGACTTGGTATGAACGACTCAACTTGCAGTTATGTTTCATGTACTGGGGAGGGTGATGACGACGTGAATGATGCTGACCCTGACCACAGAAGAAAGGCATCGAGCGATGGAACAGTTAAAGAGGGCAGTGAGCCGTCATGTTTACAATGTAAGAAATCTGTTCCTAGTCATCTGTTGAAATCATCATCATTGTTGTCGCCATCGTTACTATCGCCACACGAACAACGGAGGCTTATAAGGTTTTGCAGCCAAAACTGTGAAAAAATATTTAGGGTGGGTTTGGCTTATTGCTGTTGGTTATTTTTTTTCACTACACGTTGTTTGTTATTGATGCAAATAATGCTCAGTTCAAGATTAGGCACGCGTCTGTACTTTTGTTACTGTGCATTTGCGTGTTTGTAGTGTGCCGATGGGTGGGGCGTGTGTCTGTATGATGTGTGTCAACTTTTTTCATGAATCGTAAACTTTAATAAATAAGTACGAAACTAAACATTGAAGATAAATGTTCAAATAGGTTAGGCAACAACATCCTATAGCAATAAGCATATGACAAACAATGTAAACAAGGTTAGGCGAAAAACAAAAACAAATAAACAACTAACAAGCAACATAAAACGTCACAAAACAGACTAAAAACAGTGGTAGTTACATGAGAAGACAAGTGTACGAGGCTGAACGTGGCGTGTGTCAGTTGTGCTCTCTTTCTGCCCAACAGATATATCTTGACATCAGGTTCAAATATTTAATCATTTGATCATTTTTGATATTTATAAAGATATTTATAAATTTTTCTTCTTTATTTTATAATATTAGCGGCCTTGATGTTTAGAAGGTTATAATATATTTGTGATGATATTCTAGTTATAATATTAACAATTATTGTTACTGTTATAACTATAATTATTTGACGCTATCAGAAATACAACAAGCATGGAGAAACGAGCTCAGTTGATACAACAAAGTCCATATGTGAAGTTGGACGTTCAGATGAAGGAGAGAATGATTAGAAATCCGCAAGAGGGCTTGGTTAGAATTCTATTTAAATTTGGTCTTAAATGTGGAGAAATCACGTGCAGTCTGAGATGCGTTGATTGCCTATCAACACGCTCTGTTAATTTGCCGTTGATTGATACGTACATCTGAGAAATAGTAAAGAGACAATTGAAATTGTAAAAAATTGATATTATCCAATTTTTGTGGCCACGATGAATTTAAACTTTTTTTAATTAGATTTTTGTTTGTTGAACAGTTTTGGCATGTGGACCACGTGACTCCCGTGTTTGCCGGTGGTGGCGAGTGTGACATTGATAACCTGAGAACGCTCTGTACCATTTGCCACAAAAAAGTCACAAAGGAACAGTTAATTAATAAAAATAAAATAAAACTCATTAACGCAGCAAAATCGTGTAAAAACATTTCCTACTTTTTCAAATAAGTCGTCTATTATCTACTTTTATTTTTATTATTTATGTAAATAAATCATAATTTATGAATGAATTTTCATTGACTTGCGTTTCCGTCGTACTGAAATGAGTTGTCTATCTCATAGACTTAGTTAAATTTTATCAGTTATTAAGCACCCCATAATTTTTTACAACTTAAAAGAGTCTGCTCGCTCGCTTTTTTAAATTTTAGTTTTTGCATGTTCAGGTTGTGGCTTGAAATTTTATCGAGACTGACGAAACGGTATTTATTATCAAATTTTAATTTCATATTATTAGCTATCCGTTTTTTATTTTTTGATTATAGCGTTTTCATTAAGTCAAAGATCCATCCTGGGTGAAAGGTTCGTTTTAAAAAAGTACAACAATCACGATTCGTAAATCAGCGCAACACCCAAAAGGCGACAAAACGACAAAGCACGAACATAAATAATAAATGGACGCTTTGCACAGCAAAATTCCTCAGTAAGCAAACTAGATAAAGTTCATTACATTACAAATACAAGACATGAGTACCTCCACGGCTGTTAACACAGAAACATTTTCAGCCAAAGATGCATTACCTACCACTGAAAGTGTTACATCAAAAAGTGCATTTGAAATGGTATGGTAGGCATTTTAGATTTTATATTTCAGTTTTTAATTTTTACTATTTTACAGTTAGTTTATGTTTTTTGCATAATGAAAATATGTGTGTATGAGAGATACATTAATTTTAATACCTTATGATTATAGTATTATATCTGTATAAAATAATTAATAAACAAATGCTAGAACTTACTTGCTGGCTGTTTCTTGTGAAGTGAAGTAAATAAAATTATATATGTGTATTGCAGATTTTAAAAGTTGGAGTTGAGTAAAATGATAGTGGGTATGCTGTAAAAAAAAATTAAATACTAAGAATATAAATATAAAGTTAATTAAACTGAGTTTGATAGGGCAAGAGGCATCTAACTGTGTGACAGGTTTCATAGCAAGAAATCTGTGTGTAAATGCTCTAAAATGAATTTTTTTAAGAAGTTTTTTAATATTTCATTTATAATTTGCAGTTCATTTTTTATTATAAAATTATAGACTAAAAATTTTTGGGCTAATGGAAGAAATTTCACAATGACTTTAGTTAATAGGATGTAATACATTCTGTGCATGAACACAGTAATGTAGTTCTTCAGTAATGTCTTTACATTAGTCAGCAAATTATAACTAATAAGAAATTTTTACTAACGGGGATCTAAATACTTTATAGAATTTTTGTAACATAATTGCTTTTCAAATAAAACATTTTTGTAATAAGTTTTGGAGTATGAAGTTATTAGTAATGAGATTTTTTTAAAAATCATTTTCCATTTTTAATTAAATAACTAGAAACAAGTTTACATGTCTGTGGCATGGTCAAATGAAAAAGTTGGCATAACATATTACGATGTTGATACCGCAGAACTCTATATGATGCATGATGTATCTGAAATTATGCAAACAAATGTTTTCAAAAGAGGTTTTTTTAAAAATTGTTTAAAATTTGATTGAGTATTAATTTTTTAATTTTTTTTGTTTCAGCATTTTCTCAAATTCAACCCATGGGAATTATAGCATCTACTAAAGATAAAGAGAAAGTTATTCAGGCAATGCATGAACTAAGTACTGATATGCATTTATTAAACTTTTTGATGATTAGAGATGTTTTCATAATGATTTCTGATTGCTATAGAAGAGAATGTTGAGATAAAGGTCATTGAGAAGATGGTTCATATTTTACCAAGCATTGATTTTGGTAATTATTCAATATTATTCTTTTATATGCATTCATAGATTAAATAATGATTAACTGTTTTAAGCATTTGTAGGTTTAAATGCCAGTTTAAAATATTTTAATGTGGCACAAAATTGTTAAAAATTTGTGTGATTTTATTATTTGTATTAAATGTTAACAATTGACATTGATAAATTGAATGAGTTAATAGGCTTGCATATTAACTTTATATATATATATATATATATATATATATATATATATATATATATATATATATATATGTATGTATGTATATATATATAACTGAATCTCAGAACTGGTCTGTATTGCTCATTTGATGCCAAATCACGTTTTCCAAATCTTTTGTGAAGTTATCCTTTATTTTTATTATATTATTATTTCAAACAAGCTGTCACTACATGCAAGAACAGACTTCATGTTATGATCTCTCCCAACCTGCCAAAACACATGACTGAGTCTGAAAAGTGCATACACATCTCAACACTTATACAAACTGATAACTTTAGCATGGTTTTTATTTAGATTTGTCTATTTCCTTACTTTTTGTTGTCTGATCTTTTTTATTTTTCAATTTTGTTTTAATTTGAAATCATTTTTATCATGGTGTGCTGATGTTGCTGGTTCAAATTCAATGAAAATAAAACTTGTCAAGATGAGAAGTTTGGGAGGTTTGCTTCGTTATCTTGAGAAAAACAGGATAGGTAAGTAGTCTACGTAGCTTAATTTACATTTATTTCCATATGAATTTGTTAAGTTTTGTTTCTTTGAAAAAGTGGGATGGATTTGTACAATGTAAATATGTTTAACTTTTTTTGATTGTACAATTGTTTTATAGTAATAGTGATAGTAATAATAATTATGATAGTAGTAACAAAGTGGTTGATAGTAAGTTAATAACCAGTTAATGAATTAATTAAATTAGTGTTCATTCATGTTAACCTGTATTTACCTAATCAAGGTAACTCCAATTATTTTAAGTTCATGTTAAAAAACTTATGTCTAATGATGATGAGGTTCTTTATTATTTTGACAAAGGTGTTGAACTAGAAGCACCAAGTGCTCAAATACCTGTCTTGGCTTTTAAAACATTCACATTGTTAGTAAATATTTTTGTCATAACTTCTGTTTAGCGTTTTTTGAAAACTCCATTATTAGTTAACAATTGAAATGAAACAAGCAATTGAATTATATCATATCTCGGGCCATATCACTATAACTTTGTCATATCTACCTTAAATCATACTGTACCTTTATCATTATATCATAGTTTGTCAACATCAATAGTATTTGATATTATTTTTCTTAGGAAGAACTTTCTAGTGATCAATGAAAATTCATTCAGGTTTGTATCATGGTTCACGTGCATTATTAAGATTCTGTCATACTTATCGTTATATATTCGTTCACCTTTCAAGTTGCATGTATTTTTATTAGATGTTAGCTAGCATTATAGTGACTAGCCTGGTTTATGTGTGGCAACTGATACATAATATTACATTAACCGTTATATAATGCATCGGAGACTTGATGTGATGAAATGAGACGTGGTAATGTGGTAATAATATGATAATATAAAGATGATAATGGCATGTAAGGTTGCTTGAAAGTTATGATTTCAACTTTAGGGGTTTGCAGATTTTCGTTGAGGAGTTGCATCCATCGGGACTCGTATCAACCAGCGAAAGGGAGGGATTCAGTCTGTTCAGTTCGGCTATTTAAATTATTCAAAATATTTTAAACTCTTGAGCTAATTACAAAAATTTTTTTGTATGGTTGTTAATAATTGCTTATGACAATCAGTTTTAGTTTTCAAAATGCTTCAAAAATGTATGATTTTCTGAAAAAATATGTTTAATAAAATGGCATCGCCGTTATAATCATTACCAACTCATAACTTAAGTCGATAATTGGACATTAAAATTTTCTATTTTATCAAATGACCAGGCGTGTTGAATAAATGCAAATCAGCAGTTGGCAGTAGAATGCTCAGGTACATTTTATATTTCATAGATCATTCCATTCTTCGTGATCTAAACTTTTTCAAATGGAGTTACATTTGAGACTTACAATAAATTTAATACGCCACCTATACACGATAAACAGAGAGTGGTTCAAGCATCCTCTCAGCGACATAAACACCATCAAAATGCGACACAAAGCCGTTGAATATTTTTGCAGGCCATCCAGTTTTGAAATTGTTCAGGCTATGCAAAACTCCATAAAAAACATGAAAAATATCGCAGTGAGTTGGTTTAGTTGTTAATTAAATGTTGAATCGCTGATAAGCTTGTACTGACGACAATCATGTGCTCATTGTTTAGCCTATCATGAAGAGGATGTTACAAGCCCAGTGTAATCATTCAGACTGGAAGACTCTGCACAAGGTTTCTGTCAGAAATTTCATGAATAAGTGGCATTATCCGCGCTAGGAATTTATTTAAAAAGAATTGGGATGGCTGCCATTGTTATTTGCATTACTAATTTTAAAAAGTTGATTGCTATTTAATCCAGACAATAATAGCATGTGTTTCTTCCTACGATATCCTTAGCCACTCTGATTTCTTTGATGTTCAGATTCTTGCTCAAGTGAACAAAATTTTAATTTATAATCATTTTAATATAAGTTAATTTTGTTTAGACGACATTTCATAAATGAAATGTTTTTTACATGGCCCCATTATTATCAAAGTCTATGATTAAAATATTTTGTCAGCTTGGAGATTACATTCGTGAAAGTCAGTTGATTTCATTGGCCAATCTTATATCTCAAATGGTATTTGTTAATAACTTATTTGGTGGATAACCTTATAACATTTGCTCTGGTCATTTAAAATAATTCTGAAACGTTTAAAACATTTATCTAAACTTTTTAACTTTTATTTATTTAACTGAAGGTTGATTTTGAAGAAACAGACATCAATCAGAGGTTTACAATGAAATTTGGCATTGATGAGGAGCTCGATGAAAGTCTCTCCTATTTGTTATTACTGTATTAATGAAACAAAATCAAATAACTAATTTAATATTTTGTTACTAATTTTGTTGGTGCAATTCAACAGAGTCGTTATTATTTACTTAATTAACATAGTAGTTGATAAATCATCTCTGAGATATATTATTAAAAAGCATGGGCTTTGCATGAACAAAACTTAGAGAAAAGAATATACGGTAGTTTGTCAGTGTTGATGCTCGATGTGTGCAGGCAGGAGTGTCAGACATTGCCATCATTTATTCAGGGCTGCAATGTTGTGTACTTCCCGCAAGTTATCTTCATTTATTGTTTAAGTTTTTGCGTGAAAAATTTCTTGAATTCAACGTCTAAACTCTGAAATATCATTTGTTGTGAAAATTCATGTGAAATAGGAATTCATTCTGCTGGTACGTAGTCGTTAGTTTTATTATAATTATTTTAACCCCTGTGGAAACGGCTAAACCGATGATTGGTAGCAATAAATTTGCTTTATCACACTCACAGATATATAATATATATATATATGCATATATATAGCGTGGATATATGTTTGGTAGATTGGATTCTTGACGAGCATTGAAGAAACAGAGAACATGAAAGCCACCAAGGATTATACCATTCCTTCCAAAGAATACTTAGTGTGTACCTCTCACCTCTATTTCACTTGTATCTTGATATCGTTTGATTTTTTGTATCAAAAATTAATTTTACGACTGTTCATTTGGACAAGTTCTTTTGAGTCTCTTGTTTGTTCAAACATTTTATATTAATTTTCAGTTTGAAGCCAACGGGAAAGCGTACTACAAGTCGGAACTGACTAGAAGTAAATAAGTAGCCATTGAAAAATTCAGTTGTAAATAATGAATTCAAAAATCAGTTAAAATTTTTGTTATATGAATTTATTTAATTTGTTAGGAGGCCATTTCAATAAATGTGATATATTTTGTTCAAATTTTATTGGTTTTTACTATTAAAGACCGTTTATTACATTTTAAGTTTAATGCATAATGGAGCAACTGAATAGTTGTGTTATTCAATTTAATTTTTGAAACACTTCTTGATTACAGATCTTGATAGGAAGTATGGTGATTTGAAATGCATCATAAATGGTTGGCAGTGTATTAATCTATTATTTTCTAATAAGTTGCTGGAATTGCTTTAAAATTTTTGAGTTAAACCCATCATCAAACTGGTAAGATAATTTTAGGAATAAATTATATTTTTTTAACTGCCGAAGATATGGAAATGAGACATATGCACAACCTTCAAAACAAAATTTTAGAATCATCATCACTCTTGATGAACATTATCAGCTGTTTTGCTGAGATTGATTGGTCAGTTGTTTTATGTACATATATTTTTTTTATATTTTTATTAGCCACGATGTCAGAAATGACAGTCTTTCCTGGCTCTTTAAACACGAATTTATGTCTGCATTTACAAATACTTATAAAAAAACAACTTTTTCTCCCAGAAAATGAAATTAATTGTTGCTCGAATAATAAATTATATTAATAGTTTGCTGAGTTTTGCCTATAGTGCTCGTGTGAACAATTACGTGAAGCCAGTCATGGTGAAGGATAACATTATCTCTATTAAAAATGGAAGGTTTCAAAGTTTTTTATAATTTAATTTTGTTAAATTTCCATCTCCGTATACCTTCTTGTTTTGTATTTTTTCACATCTTTGGTAAAAAAAGAACATCAAATGTTAGCTTTTTATATAACTGCTGTTTATAATACTTTTAGCTGTTATTTATTTATCATTGTTGTTATATTAATATCACTTAAATTAACACACGTTAACGCATGCACCAATATAAACATATATCTGTACGTACATAGATATGTATAATGTATTGCCTTCCAGGAGCAAATTGAAATTATATTGTTTTGTGCTAATTTATTTATTTGTTGGTTTTGTAATACATTTATCAATTTAAAGACATCCCTTGTTAGAATTAAGAGATACATTTGTACCAAATGATGTTACCAGTGGTTCCCCACATAAGATACTTATAATCACAGCAGCAAATGCAAGTGGCAAGAGCGTATACTTGAAACAGGTGACTAATAATATTGATACTGTAAATATGCTTCAATATTAGATGAACATTTATATTGAAATGACTGAATGAACGTTTGTTTTATTGATTGAACATTTTACCCAACAAGGTAGGTCTCATTATTTTTATGGCTCAGATAGGCAGTTTTGTTCCTGCTGAATCAGCTACACTGGGAATAATTACTGAAATTTTCACACGTCTGTGCACCGTGGAAAGCATTGCGATACCAATGTCTTCTTTTCTTATTGACCTTAATAACGTTGCACTGGCATTGAAGTCTTCTACACCAAGATCGTTGATACTCTTGGATGAATTTGGTCAGGGAACTCAAGAGGCTGGTTGATGTTTTTAAACATTCACCATTATTTGTGTTCTGTGAAATTTTTTGTCAATCTCGGCGTCTTATTGTTTTTCTCGAGTCACTTGATCCAACATTTTAACGTTGTATTTAATATTAAAATACTTTGTCTACCAGGAAGATGGAGCTGCTTTGTTAGCTGCCACAATAAAAAGTCTTGATGACCGGGGAGATAACTGCCCTCATCTGATTGTGTCCACCCATTTTCATATTCTAACTCATTCAAAGGTTATTGAACCTTCTAATCGAATAAAGTTTATGGTTAGTTTGTCATTTTTACAAGACATTTAACATTTCTATTTCAATTTATATAAATTTATTGTAAATCAAGATTTTTTTATGCTAAACGGGATTTCTTTAGCAATAGACTACAAATCCACCTAACTAAAAACCAGCGTCCACAGCATTCGAAATAACTGCTGTTCTTGTGTTTGTGTCCTGACTTCTTTATGATTATCTAGATATTACCATTCTCGCAAATTCACGTAAATTGAAAACATTTAAATGAAATCAACAGACCCTGGCCATAATGGTGGATGAGAACGATCATAACAGCCCATTAACGTATCTGCATGAACTAAAGGATGGATATGCTGGTTTTTTTTCAACTTTTTTTCATTTTTATTCCTTTTCATCTTGAATGATTTTGTGATATTTGTTAATGCTAATGATTTGATATTTAACATAAAAGAACTCTATTGTTTGTTGTTTTTGCGTTTCAGATTGTTCATATGCTCTAAATTTGGCAAAAATGGTAGGATTACCTCAAATGATGATTGACAGGGCACTTCAGGTTGGATATTCATTGTGTTGAAAGAGCACTACAAAAAACAGAATAAATAAAATAATAATTTTGGGAATTATTTTCTTAATTGATTGATTGATTTCAAACATCCTGAATAGATTTGGGAATACAAGAAACAAGGTCTGCCCATTATGCCTGATGTTCCAGAAAGTGACAAGCAAAAATATGTTCAGATATTTGATAAATTTTTAGAACTTAATGTTCAAGATGATGAAGAAATTATGTCATTTATAGAATTTGTCAAATCACTGACCTTCGAAATAGATATGTGACGAGAAGAAAATTTATAATATTGGTTTTCATAAACTATTATGTTTGTGATAAATGTATTACATTTTTATATATCAAGGCTAAAAATTGAAAAAATATGATCGTTTCTATATCTATATAAACCAAATTATATTAAAAAATTAAATAAAACTGTTACCGGTTTGCGTTAATATCAGTTTATTTAAAAGACTTCATTTTGAACATTAAATTTCGACAAGACATTGGATTACAAATTCCATAAAACGATTACTTCGAATTATGTTACCAAAGGAAAGATGATCTGAGAGCAGTTACTACCAAAAAAGGTTACATTGAAGTACGTTATACGTAAAGCGTGTAAAATAACATTACTAGAAGTGATGAAAAGATCGATTATTGGAAATTTCAGCAACGTGATTCGAGTTGATAAAAAGATTAGTGAAACAGTCTACAATTTAAAAATCCATATAAAACAAAAAAATTACATTATAACAAAAGTCAAATTGGTAATATCATTCGGATGATTGTAGTACAATTAATTTATCTATACATCACAAGAATATATTTGAATTAAATGAGAAATTAAGGCAACTAAGAAATAATTCCTCACATGGGCTGAAAATAGCAGAACCTTAACAATCATGAACAATGAGGAACATAATATCAAATTGAAAGACTGAAATTTAATACGAGCACATTTTCAAAACCGATTAAATGTTGAATTTAATTATGTTAAAAAATAATGAAAAACAATCGTTACATTAAAAATAAGATGTTTCGAATGTAGTATTCATATCTATATTTAGTTAGTATTATATGAGGTGATGTAGAGTAGTTCATATGTATATGGTAGCTAGTGTGAGATTAAACATTCCCTGTTATAGGCATACTGTGGAATGTTTGAAATTAAGTTTTTCTGTGTTTTATATATGCTCAAGCTTTTTGAAAATGCAAAAACTAATTTAGAATTTTAGTAAATTCAAAAGTTTTATATGGAAAATTAATTCTGAAACTGAAGCAAACAAATTCTAAAGAGATTAACTTACCATAACTTGAATATGATGTAAAGAGTTAAATATAAAAAATGATTTTGTTTTTTATTGTTACAGCATTTACAAATTATAGATGAGTGGAACAAAATTAAACTACATTGAATGAAGCAATATCATTGTTTTATAAATGTAATGAAGAAACAAAATAATTAACATGCGATTATTAATTTATTGAAGCAGATTAGATGATGGAAGTAGTCAAAAAGTTGAAGAACAAATAATGAGATAATCTTTGAACAAAACCAAAATTATATCAAGGGTCGAGATGCTGGTGTATATAAATCATGTGCTCAATTTCTGAACAAGTCATCGTAAGGATTTTTAAAGTGTGCAATAAATATCAAATACTTTTTACTACAATAAAATAAATAATAACATAACAACAGAATTAGAATAACATTAAATAAAGTACATAAGTTAAAATTATATTAAGTTGAGTTTAGCGGATAAAATATAACAATGATATAAAAGTAGATATTCATTTCACTTTCATTTAGATTCCACCTTATTTTATAAGCAAATTAAAAGTTGTAAGTTAGTTGCAGTTGCAATCATTCCCCACATGTAAGTACCATTATTATCCTATTGATGATTAAGACAGCAGCGACGGTGGGTAAAGATGCATATCAATGTAGTAATCGAGCAGTTTTTGAATGGCTTGCTTGTCAATGTACGGTCGCTTGTAAGTGAAGCCAGTTTGCTCGATCAACGATCCATCAATGTTGCATTGCTTGTTACCAAACAACTCCTGAATGTTCAATCAATTTTATGCAACAACGCAGTGACAGACAGATTTGTGAACTAACTTCATTAACGTGAGGGAACAATGGAGTGCTGTATATGCCATCTTTTATGCATGCACTGGTCCACGGTGGCAAGTGTTTCTCTGTTAGCTCACCGACAACTTCTTCTATGTTTAACTTGAAATGCCATTTGAACACTATTTTATATTTAGAGTTTCGACAAATTCTAAGTCACACAATACATGTTTGTTGAATTATTTTATAATAACTCGAATAAAATTTTTTGAAGTTAAGAATAAACAAGAAAATCAATTAAAAAACGAACTGACAGCATTATTTTAGAGCCAAAAATTAAGGAAACAAACATGAAAACCTTGGCAATATTGCTTGTAATGGTTCCAAGATAACTGCACTCTATGCCAAACATGCTACTTATTGCATCTGAGATTAAACCTTGGGCTAGAAAAATTAATAGTCCAAACAAATATAGATTGAACAGAATAAGTAGGACTAAAATTGAAAAAAAGAAATAAAAGACAAAACGTACTAGTGTTAGATTTATCAGCCAAATAGTAAATATTTTTGTCAGTGTCATTGATACAGAGGTGGTATATTGCATGTACAAGGTCTTCAACGTGCACCGTGCTGTATTTGTAGTCCCGCGTCCATAGCATCTTATATGAAAATCAAAAATCAGCTCTTAAACTGATGCTCAAACTGTGCAATCCGTTCTCTGTGGCTATTTCATATGCATAAATAAATAGGTATATACGCACAAAACACATATTAAAGTACACACACATTCACATACACATATATAATACCAATATTTATTTACATAATTGAAAAACTAAAAAGGTTAGAGAGATCTGAAAAGCATATGTTTAACAGAGATCTTTGATGAAGAGACGATTGGTGATATTCAGGTTAGATGAATGTAAAGAGGAAATATGAAATAAGCCGAGTGAACAGATGGGGATTCGTGCAAGCAAAAAATATGGCATTGAGATAGGTCCAAGTGAATAAAAAAGCAAACCAAATTTAGATTTAGCATGAGTGTTAGGTGGAAGAGTGGCGAACCACAGATCATCACAATCATTAAATGTGTATCAGTCAATAGTAGTATTATATATCTTTAAACTGCATAAACCAAAAACAATTTGTATCAGTATTTTTAAAACCTGCATGCTTGCTTTAAGCTGTTTGCTGACACCAGCCAAAATCAAGAATGGCACTACAACAGTATTTTATAATTAATTACTTCAATAAAAATAAGTCACCGATCAATTATTATATTATTGTTTGAAAATCATCCTAACACTGGTTAACCAGTGAAAGATTTTAGTAAGAACGCAAGCATTTTATAAAATGAAACATGACGATGAATTGAAAACAAACTGAGGCCATGTAGATCACCATCCCCGTAAACAACTGCACTCCTGATAATGACGTGCTTCAATCCACTTATTGCAGGCAGTTCTTTCTCCACTTTATATTTCTGGAGAATGACTTGAGTCGATGGGTCAACGTAATCAGATGTGCAGGCATCTGCAAGTGACTGATTGGTAGAAAACAAATTGTATCCCATCATGCACAGTGACATATTCAATAAATAAATTAACTTCAGTTCATAAAGTTTGCAGTTGACTGTGTGCTCGTTTTGAATGAACTGAATGAAGAATGAATGAAAGGTTGAATAAATACTTTTTCGTAAGAAATAAGTTGAGCAGTTGACAACTCGATATAACGTTTGATGTTGCGTTTAGCGGATTCTTTAGCGCAGTTCATACTTAACGTGTATATGCCGTCTTCATAAACCTTTAAAAAATTTTTGAATTTTATCATGAAATTTTTAATTACACTGACAGGTGTGAAAGATTAGATTATAAATCAAGATTGAATCTCTATCAGTTTTTATTTTATTTTTGTACGTCTGATTAATTAAACATAGTAACATTAAACTACTTTCAGTGATTGATTTGGTTTTGTTTCGCCGGCGCAGTTGATGACATAATCGAAATCTACCTCCTTGTAACATTCAAAAACGTTTGAGACTGATTCTGAAATTGTATAATGCACTGTCACAAACAAACAACACACTACTTTTAATATAAACACCAATCTTTCAACTTAATAAATAATTATTTAAGCATAGAAAAATCAAGCATGTATCTGTTGTAAAATTTGTGAGAGAAACAGAAAATTGATCACGTTGTTTCCAACAGGTGCAAATTCTAAAGTAAGATCTGTAGGCTGAACCATGCCATATCAAACGATCATTAGCAAAGTTTTGTACTTTCATAAATACGCGTAACACATCATGCGATGGTGTAACGGTAAAGTGCCTGTTGCACCACTATTGTAGTGACCAGATTCGATTACAAAGAGATCCGCGTCAGTCACATGTAATGCGTGTGTGGTGCGTTGTTTCGCGTCTATTTACATGCACTGTGTGTGTGTAGTTGATAGTTTGATACCTATGAAAAATGCTGGAGAGAATTGAAAAATACTGACAGTTTAACACCTAAGTATTAACAAATCAAAACTGATTCAAAAGTTAAATATTATTTATATATACTAACGAATTTTTATAAGATCAGCTTGCATGAATTCAACATTTTCAAAGGACTTTCTGTGCCTGGGACACAACCAAGCCATTTCTGGTATAACCTTATCAACGGCTATGATCTATGTGAAATGAAGCAATAATACAATCAATAATGCATCCTTCCTCTGTGGTGAATCTAATCAAGCTTCTTCACTGTCACTAGACAGACAACATGACACCAGCATAGTAGAACATTTATAAAGAGCAACTTCAGTGACCTGGTTCGAATACAGTCTCTGCTCAACTTCAAGACAAAATATTTTACAATGACTGATGCAGAATTTGTTGGTATCTTAGGAATGTGCATGCACAGCACAAAAGACTTTAGATAAATTTAACTTTAGTTCATGTTTGGGGATTAGTACTTCTTCTATAAAAATATAAGTAACTCTTACTGAAATTGTGTCAATTAATTGAAAAATAAACCTAACAATTCTCCCTGTCCTAATTATCAAATTTGCTATCATAATTAAAGGGTAATATAATTAAATGATAAAATAACAGACAGACAGGAAGTAAGATAAAACAAATACACCATCAACACTTAAAAATTATCTTCCCAGATAACAGAATGAATGCTATTTCAATTTTTTGCTGGTAATGCGAAATTTATCTCAAATAGTAATAACATTTGAATGTTAATAATTTATTAGCCAAACAAATTTCATCTTTGTTTAATTTTTTGAAGAAACAAATATTATAAAAACTTTGTTGCAACTGATAGAGAGATGAGTGTTAATAAATAATCAATAATAGTGTTAAATAATTGAGTAAGTAGCTGGTGTACATGAGATAAACAGAGATCCATAGACATATTAGTTAAACAAATGATCAATAATGTTAAATAAACAACTAAGGTGCAATCTGAATAGAAATAATCTGATTAATTAACTAATCATTTCAAGCCAAGTGTAAAGACTGTATCTAATTCTGAAACAGTTTAACTAATTAAAATATTCAGCTCATTAACATTTTCATCTTTCTTTTTTTCACCATTATTCAAACTTTGGAAATCTACACACATTCATATCTCCAGTTAAAAAAATTAAATAATCATGTTTACTTCACCCATTAGCTCTTCCAGTGCTTTAAATAATCAAGCCCACACAAGATGTCAGGCACTTAAATACGAACATCAGACACTCACAAACACTAAGTCATCTATTTGAGATATTTGATATTTAATTTAAAGACATTAATTATTATGAACTTTTGAAAGTCATTTTTAAAAAATCTATTGGTCTTTATTTTTACACAATCATAATTTTTGTCATTATTGAAATGTTGTTTAGAAATTAAACTGTAAACTAAGTGTGTAAATTAATGATTAAACCACTAAGAAATCAAGAAAGCAAGCATGCAAGCAAACAAACATGCAAACAAACAAAAAGAAAACAAACAGGCTAACCATAACAAACTTAATAAAAAAAACTAATAAACAGCTCAAATGTATTACCTTGTTGGCTAATTCATTTTGAACAAGATAATCTATCATATGTCGACCTATGAATCCAACACCTAATAATTTTTATTTTACATTAAAATGTTGTAACACAGTGTGATGAATAATTAATAGACATTTATCTAATTTCTAATTATATTTATAATTTATCATTTCATTAATATCACCTTTTTCATTAATTGAATTTAACATTTAGCATTTTTTCATTTCTTCAGTTTTCTTTCTTAAATCTTAATTTTCTATTTTTTCTATTTTTTTCTTTAGATTAGAATATTAGATAATAAATAAATAGAATGTTTATTTTTTATATTCTCATCAAATGAATAAAATTTAAATTAGGAGATTAACATTAAATTAAAACATTTAAATAAAATAAAATCAAAATGTAATCCAAGAAAATAAATTTTTGGAACCGACCTCCAAAAATAAGAAAGTTAGCCTTGCCCTGACAAATTTTATTTTTATCAACCATCCTATTTCGTTTTAAAATTGAAAAATCAAATTTATCAAAAATTATTTAAAATTATTATAATTAATTAATAATATATATAATATTAGTAGTTTATTTTTGATACAGTTTTTTTGGACGTCTTAAAACATTAATAATCAAAATTTTTAACAAAATTTAAATTAAAATTATTTAATTAACTAAATTGATACAAATTGTTAATATTTTTCCAAATTTGTTTATTGAAAAATAGCGCACAGGCGACGAGCCACCGACAAGACTCATCGGCGAATTTTTTATTTTTCAAACCAGACTAAATAGCAAAATAAAACAACAACCTGCTAACGGGAACAAAGCAAATAGATTGTAAAGAAAAACAAATCAGACAAACGTTAGTCAACGTAGTAAGATAAGTTGAAAAAGTTATAAATATTTATATATATATATATATATATATAGAACATTTTGTGATTTTCATCAATTGAATTTCTGAGTTTTAATTACTCCGATATTTATTAAAAAACCGAAGACTGGAAGCAACATCGTGGACGATCGCGATGATCGACTGCAACACAAACTTGAATCAACATGCTGTCATTTTCATCATTAATATATATATATATTATATATATACATAAATATATAATAAATTTTATCTATTTTTCTATTATTAATTGTCAAGAATTTCGTCTTTTATCAGCATATACATATACATGTATATACGTATTTTATTCTTGTTCCAGTTAACTGATGCCGTTGATCAAGATCTCGAAAATCGTGCATAAATAATAATTTTGAACATCTAGCTTGTGCTCTAAATAAAGTAATTTCCGCGAACTGGAAGATAAGATTAAAACTTGTGAAAAGTTAATTAATAAATTAAAAGCTAAAAATTTGTAGGATTTATTTTATTCTATATAAATGATATCTACACGTTGGATGAGCTTTTGTAATAACTTTTTTTCATCGAATCGAGCGTTTATATATATATATACTTATACATAAATATATATATATATATATATATATATATATATATATATATATAAACAACTACATAAATATACATCAAATTACATAAATACATGTATCGGCATGTAGATTTAAATTTATTTTTTGCTTACTATATAAATGCTAGAAAATTATAGAAAATTAGATAAATTTGAATATTATCAATAACAACTGTACATTGCATACAAAATAATGATAAACAATTATAAGGAAGAAACAAGATAGTAAAATTAAAAATGTTGATCTTTGGTCGGTTTTCCATTATATCCAAAGAGTAATGTGTTTTTTTTGAAATCAATGTATTCTGGTCTCCAGTACCAGTTTAAACAATTTGTGTTTGGTATGATTAGTTTGGAATAGTGTAAGCCTGGTTCTTTTCTATTCAATGCTAAACAGGCTACCTGATTTATTCTAGGACTTTTGTTTGATCTCAAAGTTTTGTTGGTAGGTTTAAATATATTGCTATAAAGAGTGACTAATTTGTGGTAATGGCAGTAATATATGAACCACATTGTCCACATCTTGTCTGTAGTGTTTATTGATTCAAAATATTGGTACCATTTCGTCATTAAAATTTTCGGTACATAAGGATGCTTCAAAGTTTTTGTTTTGAACCACCGTTGAAATTTTAACCAAACTCTTGGTTCTGGAGCAAAACCCCAACTACCAACCAATTTGTAGAAATAACTTGGACCAGTTAAACTTGGAAGTGGATTAAATTCTTTCCCGGTTTCTGCGATAATCAGACTTTCACTTTGAAAAGTGATTCCTGCAAGATTTTCTGTCGAATTATAAAACTGTTTTGCTGCTTTAAGCCATCTGTATGAATAAGGAGCAACGCTTATATCGTCTTCCAGTATTAGGCCAATTTCATATGGACACGTTTTATTGATTTTTGATTTATTAAATTTGTACTTCTTAGGTACCCAGCTATAAATCCATTGACCGATAATTCCAACGTGCTTAGACTGCAAATAGATATGTACAGGGCCATTTCTCCACAGAAAACTTCTAGCACTTATTAATGTTTCTGAATCTATATGACCATCTATAGATCTGTCAATCCATATTTCGAGCAGAACACTGTCTCCATCTGTTTCCAGAGCATTTAAACTTTGGAGGAGCTGATGGTCATAACAAAAAATGTTACTAAAAGATTTATCAAAAATTATTTTAATAAACCTCTAACAAGCTGGCTGATCTTTTGTAGGTGAGAACTATTATTCTCAAATCATATTCAAAGTCTTTAACTATATTGTGACACAAATTTTCACGTCCAACAATGAATATAAAGGTTTTATTTGCAGAGGTGTCACAATAATTTTTTACATCTGATCAAGAAAATTAAACAAACTTTATTAGTTTATTCAAGGTGCACATAATAATTAATTTCAAAAAAATTTGACAACTGATATATGTATATTGGATGACATTCAAAGTATAGATAAATTGTAAAATCATTGTTATTATTAAATAACACTTTGAATAAAATTAAACAACAAACTTGTCAATTTTCGTTGTAAGAGAGCTTCTGTTAATGTTTTTGACAAACATTGCTTGAAAGTATACTTGTTCGAAATTATGTAAATAAAGATGAAGAATGTAACTGAGAATATTAATGCTTGTGAACATGTGAATCTGTTATCAGGTTGAATCTTGATGAGTAAATTTAAAAAAAAGATCTAAAATAATATATTAATTAATATGGTTTAATTAAAGAATTAAACCATTTGTAAGATAAACGTTAATTATAAAAAATAAAGCCAACAAAACATGAACTTCTAATTCATAACTTCATTGTGTTGCACAGGTGTTTTAAAAGTGATCATCATACAATATTAAAATTAGTTGAATGTTAACTGTTAAATTTTAAATTAATATTACATTAAATTAAACAATGAATAAAAATTTATTTAGTATTTTACTCACATTTAAAATTTGATGTGGCAAAAAATTTTTGATTGCGCTTATCTTCTTCAGCTTAACAAACGATATGAAATGGGCTAATTTCCAGTTTTTCATTATTTTTTAGTTAGTGGTTTGTCATTTTCAATATTAATTTGCAATTTAAAATACATTTGTCACCACAAAAACTCATTTATTAGATTAGTTCCATAATATTAATCACAATTATTGAATGAATACAGGCAATTTTTATAAGACACAAATCTTTCAAATTTTGTGTTACTTTTATTTAATTTATTATTCAATTTAACTACTTCACACCATTGTGACTCCGGCTTTACATACTACTACAAGACGCGTTCATGTCACATCAAAATTTACTTTTGAGCAAACGTTTACAGCTTTTTAAATGTTGAGTTTTTGGTGATGGGCGAATTATGCGTGTTTGGCTATTATTAATTTCGTTCTTAAGAGGCCATGAAACCCATGAAACCTCGTTAACCTGGTCAAAAACAATACAGATATGTACATAACAATCAATGCAACAATACAAACAATACAATACAAAAATAAACATAACAAAGTGATTTAATAAAATTACTGTTTTTATGTTTCATCCATTGAATAACAATATTTAGCTAGATGAAAAGTCTGTTGCAGATTCTACAACGCAGGCTTTCAAAGATTTAAAGTCAGACAGTCAAATACATAGAATTTTATGTACCTATTTGTCATAATGAATAACAGAGTGGTTCTCACACAGTCATCTTCTAAATCACTATAATAATTGTTATGCTATAATGCTATATATATATATATATATATATATATATATATATATGTTGGTAATAGACTATAATTTTTACAATATTCTATAAATTCTACCGAATGTTTGGCGTTAATATGTTTGTAGTTCGTTTTTTCTCACTAAAGTTTTTTGGTGAACGTTTAGTTTATTAAAATTCAAAATAAACTTATTTTTCGAATTCATGCTGCAAATAAGGCCATATTTCGATTCTGAATGAATCATCGTCAGTGCTCCTTGTTGTATATATAGGGAAATATTGACTTTGTCAAGATTAACTTTGACGTTGTAAAAATTAACTTTGGTGTTGTAAAATTGAATTTTGATGCGAATTAGGTGTCAGGTTTCTTAATTGGCTGGTCATCTTCTTTGGTCTCCTTTTCTTCATCGATAGCATCATATTACGATGCTAGTTTTTATTACTTCTTTGTTTTCGTTGTTGGTTAAGCGCCGGGTTGGAAGTGAGGTTGTCATTTTTTGTTGTATATTTATTTTTGGTTTATTGATTAGGTACCTATGGCTTATTCAGTGAACAAAGGCAAAATGCCATCTAATTTTATTACGAATAAGGGAATGATTGCATTAACATCAGAATCAACAAATTATATATGGCGCCAACAATCCTAATTGAACAAAATGGATGAGTCTGACATACTTTTGTCTTATTTATTTCCACCATTAAGTATGACCATTTGACATGCACCTTATCTATGTTATATTTAACGAATAATTATTATGTGTTAATCATTCTGAGCAAACAAAGAAAAACTTGACAAACTTACAAAAAACAATAAGACCAGTTTTGTATTGTTTTTATTATAAAAAAATATATGAAATTAAAATACTGTCATGCGATAAGTCTTTTTATAAATACATTTGTAACGTCTAATTTCTAAACGCAAGGGTATTATGTATGAGCTGAAATTGTTATGCTATAATGCTATATATATATATATATATATATATATATATAGCATTATATATATATATATATATATATATATATATGTTGGTAATAGACTATAATTTTTACAATATTCTAAAAATTCTACCGAATGTTTGGCGTTAATATGTTTGTAGTTCGTTTTTTCGATTTTTCTCACTAAAGTTCTTTGGTGAACGTTTAGTTTATTAAAATTCAAAACAAACTTATTTTTTGAATTCATGCTGCAAATAAGGCCATATTTCGATTCCGAATGAATCATCGTCAGTGCTCCTTGTTGTATATATAGGGAAATATTGACTTTGTCAAGATTAACTTTGACGTTGTAAAAATTAACTTTGGTGTTGTAAAATTGAACTTTGATGCAAATTAGGTGTCAGGTTTCTTAATTGGCTGGTCATCTTCATTTTCTTCATCGATAGCATCATATTCTTCTTTGTCACAATTTACGATGCTAGTTTTTATTACTTCTTTGTTTTCGTTGTTGGTTAAGCGCCGGGTTGGAAGTGAAGTTGTCATTTTTTGTTGTATATTTATTTTTGGTTTATTGATGTCGATTAGGACTGCTTCTGCAATTTTAAGATGCGTGTAGTTGCTGTTCTGGTATATTACTTTGGTGTTGCTGTCGAGGATTTCACGGCTAATTGTGATTGAGTGTGTTGAGTCCAAATGAGATTTGATAGCACCACTCTGTTTATGCATCGTAAGCCTTCTAGTCAATGAGGTAGTAGTAATCCCGATATATGAGTCATGTTGACGTGCACAGCCGTCAAAGGGGCAATTAAACTCATATATTACGTGATTACGCTTTAACTCAGAGTTATCTGTAAGACTGCAGTTGTTTTTCAGTATTAGGTGAGACGTCTTTTTATTGTTGTAATAAATTCGGAGTTTAACTTTACTATTTGGGTTGGTTGGTGTGACATTTTTATTTACAGAAATCACATGTCAACAGCATACAAGGTAGATGAAGCTATTCTTAAGCATATCATCAATAAAAATGTCACACCAACCAACCCAAATAGTTTACAGAAATCACATGTCAACAGCATACAAGGTAGATGAAGCTATTCTTAAGCATATCATCAATAAAAATGTCACACCAACCAACCCAAATAGTTTACAGAAATCACATGTCAACAGCATAAAAGGTAGATGAAGCTATTCTTAAGCATATCATCAATAAAAATGTCACACCAACCAACCCAAATAGTTTACAGAAATCACATGTCAACAGCATACAAGGTAGTTGAAGCTATTCTTAAGCATATCATCAATAAAAATCATATCATCAACTACACGCATCTTAAAATTGCAGAAGCAGTCCTAATCGACATCAATAAACCAAAAATAAATATACAACAAAAAATGACAACCTCACTTCCAACCCGGCGCTTAACCAACAACGAAAACAAAGAAGTAATAAAAACTAGCATCGTAAATAGTGACAAAGAAGAATATGATGCTATCGATGAAGAAAAGGAGACCAAAGAAGATGACCAGCCAATTAAGAAACCTGACACCTAATTCGCATCAAAGTTCAATTTTACAACACCAAAGTTAATTTTTACAACATCAAAGTTAATCTTTAATGTTTTAAAAACTTTAGTGAGAAAAATCGAAAAAACGAACTACAAACATATTAACGCCAAACATTCGGTAGAATTTATAGAATATTCGTTTTTTCGATTTTTCTCACTAAAGTTCTTTGGTGATCGTTTAGTTTATTAAAATTCAAAACAAACTTATTTTTCGAAATCATGCTGCAAATAAGACCATATTTCGATTCCGAATGAATCATCGTCAGTGCTCCTTGTTGTATATATAGGGAAATATTGACTTTGTCAAGATTAACTTTGACGTTGTAAAAATTAACTTTGGTTAATGGTTGAGGCGCTTTGTCATCCTGCTGTTGCAGTTACTGGGTTTGAATACACCAGACCTCTCCGTATTACGTGCAGTGTGCATGAGGCGTAGATTTACGCGTAATCACGTCCGTCTTCTGTGTTCACTGGATCCTCTTCCAGAATTATTCAAGGGAGATAAAATTTTAAAAATTATTAATATATATGCTGCTCTCTGATTTAACAAGTTTTTGTTATGATTTGCTTAGTTAATCAGTATGTTATTTTATGCAATGTCAATAAACTTTTGGTTCATGGAATTGCAGAAAATAAGTTCAAAATATCCGTAATTCCATTCAATTAGGATGATGAAGTCTTAATGACAACAAACGCGCGAAGCTGCTGAACCTTATTCGTCCCAATCCTATGCGTCTGGTGGTCTCTAAAATTAAACTGAATAATAAGGTTTTCGATAATTAAAACATAAAAATGATTTGAACGTGAATATATGCTGATCGATTACGTGTTTGTAAGCATACCACAAAAACTAGAGACCCAAATTAATTTTTATGTTTTAATTTGAACCTGAAAAACTTAAGCAATTAAAAACCAGTTGATATTTTTAACAGTAGTAAACCATGAATACTTCCAGGTAAATTTTCCAAAAAATAATTAACGAAAGGTTGAGAATTGTTACAATGTAGTAAGTCACTCGGAGAAATAAATCATTAAAATATTGATTAGGTACCTATGGCTTATTCAGTGAACAAAGGCAAAATGCCATCTAATTTTATTACGAATAAGGGAATGATTGCATTAACATCAGAATCAACAAATTATATATGGCGCCAACAATCCTAATTGAACAAAATGGATGAGTCTGACATACTTTTGTCTTATTTATTTCCACCATTAAGTATGACCATTTGACATGCACCTTATCTATGTTATATTTAACGAATAATTATTATGTGTTAATCATTCTGAGCAAACAAAGAAAAACTTGACAAACTTACAAAAAACAATAAGACCAGTTTTGTATTGTTTTTATTATAAAAAAAACATATGAAATTAAAATACTGTCATGCGATAAGTCTTTTTATAAATACATTTGTAACGTCTAATTTCTAAACGCAAGGGTATTATGTATGAGCTGAAATTGAAAGTCTAGCTGTTTCTGTTTATATCAAATATGTTAATGCTAAGATGATGAATCTATATCATCAAACACGACTGTCTAGTATCATTCTACTGATAAAATAAATTGAGAGAAATCAATTGAAAAAAAATGGTTTTTGGAAATACAACATGTGTAATGCACACACATGTCCTAGCAGGATGTCTAAATTGGTGTTAAAAAAACGAACGCACCAGTTTCACAGACACACGCTCTAACAAACACACATACATACATAGAGGTACCTAATATATACATATACAGGCTTAAAAACACGCAGTTGCAAATTTATTCTTAACTAATCATGGAATGTTATAAAATTGGATTATTTGGAATAATATGATCAATTTTGTATATTGTGTAAATATGCACAATAATAAACAAGATTTTATCTGTATAATCCAACAAGATAGCTAAATCAAAGAAGTTCAATTTTTGTTGGTTTTCCGTTATAACCAAAGAGTATCGTGTCTTTTTTGAAATCAGTGTATTCTGGTCTCCAGTACCAGTTTAAACAATTTGTGTTTGGCTTGACTGGTTTGGAATAGTGTAAGCCTGGTTCTTTTCTATTCAGTGCTAAACAGGCTACCTGATTTATTCTAGGAATTTTGTTTGATCTGAAAGTTTTGTTGGTAGGTTTGAATATATTGCTATAAAGAGTGACTAATCTGTGGTAATGACAGTAATATATGAACCACATTGTCCACATCGTGTCTGTAGTATTTATTGATTCAAAATATTGGTACCATCTTGTCATTAAAATTTTTGGTACATAAGGATGCTTCAAAGTTTTTGTTTTGAACCACCGTTGAAATTTTAACCAAACTCTTGGTTCTGGAGCAAAACCCCAACTACCAATCAATCTGTAGAAAAAACTTGGACCAGTTAAACTTGGAAGTGGATTAAAATCTCTCCCAGACTCTGCATTAATCAGGCTTTCACTTTGAAAAGTAATTCCTGCGATGTAATTTGTCGAATTATAAAACTTTTTAGCTGCCTTTAGCCATTTGTATGAATAAGGGGCAATGCTTATATCGTCTTCCAGTATCAAGCCAATTTCATAAGGATACATTTTACTAATTTTAGATTTATTAAATTTGTACTTCTTAGGTACCCAGCTATAAATCCATTGACCGATAATTCCAACGTGCTTAGACTGCAAATAGATATGTACAGGGCCATTTCTCCACAAAAAACTTCTAGCACTTATTAATGTTTCTGAATCTATATGACCATCTATAGATCTGTCAATCCATATTTCGAGCAGAACACTGTCTCCATCTGTTTCCAGAGCATTTAAACTTTGGAGGAGCTGATGGTTATAACAAGAAATGTTGAAATATAAGATATATTAAAAATTATTTTAATAAACCTTTAACAAGCTGGCTGATCTTTTGTAGGTAAGAACTATTATTCTCAAATCATATTCAAAGTCTTTAACTATATTGTGACACAAATCTTCACGTCCAACATTGAATATAAAAGTTTTATTTGTAGAGATGTCACAATAATTTTTTACATCTGATTAAAAAAATAAAATGGATTTAATTATTTTATTAGTTTGCGCATAATAAATAATTCCAAAAATAACAGAAATGAATGATGATGCTCAGTGACGGATCTGGAAATTTTTTGAAAATTTGAAAATTTTCAAAATACTTGATGGAATTGAGTTATTTATATTGATAAAATACATTAGCAGCAAGCAATTTTAATGTATCATAATACAAATCAAGTCAAGTATATTCTTGTAAAAAATAAATAACCAAAAATTCTTTTTTTTTAAAGAACCGAATTCTTAAACGTACAATGAAACGATAACGAGAATCATAAATATAAGCAGATATGCAATTTCAAAATCATCTTCCAAAATGTTTTTGTTATGTTTTAAAAGAGATATATATATTTATTTACATCAAATTGATTCTACGGTTTTTTATCATGACAAAATTGTCTATGATAGTTTCAGGTACAATGTTGAAGTCTGAATGTACATTAGTGCTAAACGATTTAGCTTCACTTAAACGACGTTTGAGTTTATTCATAGTGCGGGAATGAATGCTCAGCGGAGAAAGTTGTCACACTTAAAGGCAGCGTTATAGCGATTTGAAGAGTTGTCGGGCATTTTCTTAAGAATATTGAGAATCCCTTGACATTTACACAGCCCTGTTTTTATTAATTAAAAAACAATATTAAATGCGATTTTGAAAATAAGTTGGAGAAGTTTAACATCGTTTTGTTTAAAAACACTTGAAATGCTATCCACCATTTTTGGGGAAAAATTCTTTCAATCGTAATAATTCATTTTTCGCTTTCTCAGTTTATACCAAAAAATTGATTTCATTAAAATTTAAATAATTCAACTCCAAATTTAGATTCAAAATGACAGTCAACAAAAAGTTTAAATAAGTAGGCAACGCGGAATTTTTGGTAAAAAATTTGAATAATTGGATTTTTAAGCTATCAGAAAAGTTAATATTATAATTAAAATAAATAATATATCATAATAATTATTATAAATATTTTTTAAAGGCTGCTCTGCTAGGGGCATCACCACCCTTTCTCTTAGATCCAACGCTTTTGATGCATTTAATTTTGAATGAGAGTTGGATATTGAAATCGTAACATGTTGTAATAAAAGAACACACTTGTTATTTTCCGCTGCCATATAGCTTTCGCTAGCGTCTCTGATAAACATTGCTTGAAAATATACTCATTAGAAATTATGTAAATAATGATGAAGAATGCAACTGAAAATATTAATGCCAGTAAACATGTGAATCTCTTATCAGGCTGAATCTGACGAGCCAGTGTTGAAACTGTTGATGGGACCTGTGCAATAAAATAACAAAATGTTGGTCATTTTAATTAATTTAGATTTAATGTTTGTGAAGGAAAATTTGTAAAAATTAAACACAAATATAAAACAATCGAACTATATTATACATCAACTTCCAATATTGATTTGATTTGCACAAGTGTTAAAGTCAATAATTTATATTATTGATATTATTATCATACTAAGTTGGATTGTTAAATTAACACACACCACGCACACACACACACACACACACACACACACACACACACACACACACACATACACACCACGCACATAAACACACAATCACACACACACAGTCACATACACACATTATAGTGACCTTTTAGAAAAAGTCAACGACATTTTTGTTTATTCGACATTTATTAACCTAGCATAAATAAATGCGGAAATAAATAGTTAAAAACCGAAATTTACTGATGCCGAATCAAATGAATATGAATAAATCATTGTGATACCCAACTTTCAAACAACAAACAGCTTAATTGGACAACGGTTAAAAAAGAAATAATTTTCTAAAATATAAACATTCAATCAATAAAAATTCTCTTCCTATTATATATATTCCAACTCAGAGTTGTTAAAAAAGAAATCACTTTTAATTTGAATTCCTCCACACGTTCTATCATCACCGCGCAACAATAACCTTGGTATGCCCTTTCTCCATTCATCACATTTGGAATAGGGTCTTAAATTCTTTTTATACCAAAACAATTAATTTTTAAAGAGTTTCCATATATTAAGCTGTAGAAATCTAAATATGTTAACTACCCCTAACTAAACTCTTCATTGTAGGGAGTCTACAAGCCAAACCACCCCTTGGCAACATCTCTGAATAAACAGATATATAAATTGATAAATAAATAAATATATATATATATATATATATAAAGAAAAAAAGAAAAAAGAGAGAAGAGGAATAAGAAAGAGAGAGAGAGAGAGAGAGAGAGAGGGAGTACGTTAACGACTGATTTAATAATAACCTAATCCCATTTCTCTACTGGTATGGATAAAGGTATGCCATAAACGAAAATCAGGAATTTGGTTTGTTGTTAACGATGTTAGGATTAGTATTTATTAATGAGTATTCAATTTTTATTATTACATAACATGGAAAGATAAACAACACTTTATTAACTTGTAACAACCCTTAACTGACTTAACTTGCATGGAAGTGTATTTCATCACATGTGCGACTAATAAAACCTTTCTTACAGTTGCAATTTTTAAACTTTTCACATAAAAATTTTAAATCATTTAAGATTGAGACAATAATAGCTAGCGCAGTTATCTAACTTCTAACCAAAATATCAGTATAGAAAATAGAATGATATTAACAACATTATATTACTAATTTTAATTTATAAATTGCAATTTACTAATTTTATCTTTTACAAATTACACCAATTGATTTTTGACCGACTTAAGTACAAAAAGTCAATTCATACAAAAAGCGGTCTCATTATTTTTAATCGTACGAGTCTGGTTTTTTAATTTTTTTTTTCAAAAAGCATGATATTAAAATTGATTACGAAAATGTCATTCATCTTAATAATGTTGCCTAAAAAAATTATTCGAAAACTTATTCCATTATTTTGAATAAATAATTTTTAAAACGATCAAGTAGACGCTAAATAGAAAGACGTATAGAATGTTGGAACAATAGGAGGAAGATAGCACCAAAAATAATAAAATATCTTTCAATACAAAACACCTATAATAAGTTTCAAAGGCGTTAAAAATGATTTTTTTTCATTTACTTTATTCTCCCAGCCTTTCATACTTTCGTTTGTCTCCCATTAATATACCACGATCTTCATCAACATCGTCACTGTTTTAGACATTTCTGTGCATTATATAACTTAACAATATCAGTGTAGCCATTCAATTATTATATATTGATTACAATACTACTCTACGAAATCATAAACATCATCATCTTCTTGATCAATACAATATAAATGTATGCAGTGAGTGACCAGCAACAACACAGAAACATTAGCGTCATCATCTCGGTTGAATTCATCATCACCATAAACTCGAGCATCATCTTCCAAGTCATTCTTATCATCGTCAATTCATCTTTACTTGATCACCCACATGAGTAACTCATGCCATCGTCATGCATTGTTATTTATCATCGTCTTCATCATCTTCGTCATCCTCATCAACCTCATCATCATCGTTATCATCATCTACAACGACAACAACAACATTAACAACATCATGGCTGCAACTAGAAAAGCAGCGCGTAGTAGCATTATGCAAGCACCATGCCTTATCATATACATACATACATACATAGGTACGTACGTACGTACGTACGTACGTACGTACGTATACATACATACATACATACATACATACATACATACATACATACATACATACATACATACATACATACATACATACATACATACATACATACATACATACATACATACATACATACATACATACATACATACATACATACATACATACATACATACATACATACATACATACATACATACATACATACATACATACATACATACATACATACATACATACATACATACATACATACATACATACATACATACATACATACATACATACATACATACATACATACATACATACATACATACATACATACATACATACATACATACATACATACATACATACATACATACATACATACATACATACATACATACATACATACATACATACATACATACATACATACATACATACATACATACATACATACATACATACATACATACATACATACATACATACATACATACATACATACATACATACATACACACACACACACACACATACATACATACATACATACATACATACATAAACATGCATTATATATAGACCTAAGCAAAACACTATTACACAAATACACAAACACACACATGTATATATATATATATATATATATATATATATATATGTTTATATTTATACATGAGTGTATGAAGCTGCTCCATTTGTTTTATATCAATATGTAACATAAATATTTTGTTCATAAACACACACACAAACACACAAACGAACACACACAATCACACACACTTACATGCATGCGTCCATTTACATATACAAATGCAAAGCAATCAATAATAAAATAAATTTGTATATATTGGGCCGAAGTTGCAGTGCTTTGGCCGGTCCTTGTGCAGGCAACAAAAATGTGCGGGACCATAGTGGAAGCCCTTATTATTTTAATTATTTTTTTCAGAGATAACAATTGTATTTTTTTCAAAAAACTGGCCATAATTTTTTTCCTTATTCCATGATAATTTTTTTTGTATGTTTTCGTTTGGTGTGGTTTGTTGAAAGGCAGGTTAATTGAAACAAAGTAAAGACGATGTGTTGTTATGAGCTCTGCAGTTGTCAGACCTAACAAGAATTATGAGACTTTTGTCTTGAGAATTGAATGTATATATATATTGTTTGTTAAATAAAAGAATTATTGAATTGAATTGAATATATGTATATAGCGCTTTTACACAGATAGATTTTTGAATTGTTATTTTTTGTAAACATTTAAGAGCGATATAAATGCAAAAAACTATGCAAGTCATGTAAACAAGTCTAATCGTTTGAATATTATGCTGCTGTTTTGGTAAATGTTGTTGTCTTGCTTACTTTCATACAACGTACATACAATTTACATACAACGTACATACAAATTACATACAACGAGCATACAAACAAACATAACATACGTACACCGTGATGTATGTACAACAGTATACAAATTCATGTAAATGAAATGCTCTTACAATTTGAACTGACATGCAAAAAACATTCAGAAATAACTTATTTTATTAAAGATGTTATAAGAAATCAGAACAATCTCTAAACCAACCAGCCAGCCAACCAGCCATCCAGCCAGCTAGCCAGCCAACAAGCCATCCAGCCAGCCAGCCAGCTAGCCAGCCAACCAGCCATCTAGCCAGCCAACCAGGCAACCAATCAACCAACCAACCAACCAGCCAACCACATACGTAATTTAAAATGTTGCTATTCAGCGTTGATGCATTCATGAAGGTATGCATGTTAAGGCTTGACACGTTTACACTTTTACAAGTCTTCCTGATTTCAATGATTGACTGCTGCTGATGTATTTATTATGCATCTCACAAATAAATATTAAAATTATTAAATTTTTTATTTCAAAAATTTATCAACATTTTTGAAAAAATGCATTTGTATTGTTTTAAGCTAAACTTTTTTATTTAAAAAAATTCTTAAATAGGTACACGTGCAATATACATAAATATAAGCAATCATAATTTTTATCAATTTATCAATAGCACGTCGGTTTTTGCCATGGAAACTTATTTCACAGTAGTTCTACAAAATTTTAACTTTTAGAGTTATGCAACACCTCAACAAATTTTGTTTCAAAGCTACAGAATGTTTACAAATTTAGATTTTTAACATATGCAAGCTGAAGCATATTTTATCACAATAATAGCTATCCATTGAAATGTTAATGTTGTTGCGAGATTTCTGTGTTGTCGATGAGTGAGGTATCATTGTCCTGTTCTTTCGACATCTCCTCAAGGTTTATTGCTTTTGGCGTTCTCGAAGCTACCTCTGTGCGTGATAACGCATCAGTCACGACGTTGTGTTCTCCCTCCACATGTCAAATGTCTGTTGTGAACTGTGAGATGTAATCAAGATGTCTGATCTCTCTCTCTCTTGCTTGGTGTTAGAAGATTAGAATTTGAATGCAAGGCGAGAGTCAATGGTTTGTGGTCAGTGATTATTGTAAACTGCCGACCTTCGAGAAAATGTTGAAAATGACGGATAGCTGAATACACTGCTAGCTGTTCTGGACCAAATGTGCTCTAGCTGGTATGTGCTGGGTTGAACTTTTGTGAGGAAAAAGCATTGGGTCTTGAAATCCCGTAATTTTTCTGTTTTAGTACGGCTCCGAAGCGACGTTCCAACACTCTCCTCTCATCATCGTGTTCTTTTAAAGAGTGACAGTTGCTGATATTAAGATAAGTTTGTTTCAAATTTGTGTTTTATTGCTGTATTCGTATAGCAGAGAAGAATTTGAATCAGAAACAACCAAAACTGATACTTTCTTAAAACATTTCTAAAAAAAAAAATTGTTTTCTAACGTAGTAAGCTGTAAAAATAAGTAGGTCAGCCTGTAGAAAAATATACAAAACAATATTTCTGTAAAGTAAGTTAACTAACTGACCAACGAAGCATTTTGAAGTTTTTGTATGTTATTATGTATTATATTATATGTTATATATGTTTCTACTTGCTAACTATTGTTTTTTTTTTACCAAACACAACCA